AATTATCCGATACTAACGAATAATCCGAAATAATTTCATATCCGTATCCGTAACCGTATCCAGTAATAATCATTTATATATCCGTATCCAATCCGTATCCCAAATTTCATATCCATATCATCCCTGCTTCCTACTTCCCACTCCTTGTTTTATTGTCATCCACAATTTGACTGCTCTGGAACATATCGTTCGCTTCCCGTAAGAATTAGGAATCTAAGAATGTAGGCAGGCACCTGCTACCTTCTTAAGTATTTGTGGCCCGGGTGTATGTGTCGCTGTAAGTATATATATAACAAGCTATAAATGCAATAGTTATACTATATTAATTGTATTCGCAGACAGAAAAGTAGGAACTTGTGTTCCATTGCGAGCTCCATTGACCACAAATACCTACCTGCATATCAGTTACGGATGAACCAAACAACAATATCACAACATAAGTACATAGTTACGTAAACGTGTAAACAATTGACTCGTGTTGGCCAAGTAGTAGTCGGTGGGTACCTACATACTCGTAGTGAATAAATACGAATACTATCCACGACCCACGACATCTTTACAACTGGTGAGACAATTTGGTACGGTTGATTGGTACCTATTTCAGTTTACTTACATCGAAATAGTAACCTCTTAACGTCGCGCACGGACATAGAGGACTAGTTGTCGACGTTTTGATTTCCATGTAGGATTCTCTTCGGATTACGCAGTCTTGCTAGCACTGTGTCGGCTGTTCCATTGACGGAGTAAGCGCTATACCATCAGCTACGCGGGTGACATGGTGCTGCTGAGCGCATCGATTGCAGCGTTGGAAATTAAGCATCTAACAATAGTCCGCGGCAGATCATGGGATCCGATCAAGAGTGAGGTCATGTTAGTCGAATTCATTAGGAGAAATGTGAAATAATCAATTTCAGATAAGAAATGCTAAGTGTGTTGTGTACAAACTACTTGGTTAATCATCATAAACCGTGGGTTAATAGTTACAATACTTGTGACGATCACTTAGTTGGCCGGCTCATGGGCTGCCGCGGCCGGGGGTTTGCTGTTTCATTTACTAACTGTGTGTAAATGTTTGTATCATCGGCACATTTATTATTCTTTGGGTAAGGCAATTGGTTGATGTAGATACTAGTAGGTACGTGTCATGTGAGTTCGATTCAATTTCTTTTTGGGATACACAACATAACTGGCCCCATATCTGGATGATGGATCATCATTAGTTTTACACAAAGTAATGTACAAATCCATTGGTGTTCAATAAAGAATTCTATTTTTATTATGTATGTCTTTACCATTCACGGGATCACAGGATCCCTGTCATTTGGGAGGCGTACGAGGGGCCAAAGCCAACTGCGCAGAGGCCCTTTAGACAATTTTAATCTAAATGTAATGGATGCACAAACCGGCGACTATCTCTGTATGCACTATGGAAATACTGAAGCCTCCTGTATCCCTGGCCCACTCGCGACTTACGAATAGTTTCTTACCCTCCGAGCAGGATCACTGCTCTCGCGACTCCACTCTGGACGGCCAATGAAGGCAAGTCAGAGGTGGGAGATCTCTTCCTTATAATTATTATTTATGATCATAATTACCAGCAGCGCTTCATGGTCCACCACTGCAGTCTGTAGGTCTTTCTAGATAGGATGGTTTGCCATTAACTCCACGCTTGGCGGGAAGCCTCGAAATCACAGTTGAAAAGGTTTAGGTTCATTAGAGAGTATTGCTGACGAATTCTTCGTGTTTCTTGGCTATGACAGAAGAGAAACTGACTAATGCCAGGTGGCAACTTGCCTGTGGTTTTTTTTATACCGCGCTGTACTAAGGTACGTAGGTACTTTCTACAATTATTATTTAGGCACAACTGACATACGATAAAGGAAAACAATGTGAGGAAATCGACTTGGACTAGACTTATAATTCTAATTATTACAACTTTTCTGTCAGACAAGGCCTTCTGTCAGCAGTGAGTCAGTTACAGGCTGACGATGACTGATAATAAATCTATATTTGTTTTCCAGGTGTCCTGGTGACGTTCACTCATACGCTACAGCAGTGCCACGCAGCCTGCACGCTCCGGTCGGACGGGCCCTGCTTCTACACCATCGCCTGCAGTGCCCCCGCCACATTTCGGCCAGCCTTCGACTGCAACGACATAGATCCCTACATCACTCTCCACATCAAACAATCTTCTGACCACAATATCACAGGCAACCACTTTATCTCCGAGTTCGATTCCTTCGTTAGAATTCTGTCCGCTATCGGAAACAAGTGGCATTATTTGCAAAACAACGCATTCAGCAACTTCAAAAATGTACTCTACATGGATCTGTCCGAGAATCACATAAACATGTTGGGAGCCGCCTTCAGGGGCCTGGAACAAATGGACTCCTTAAACTTGTCACGGAACCACATCGAAACTATTGAACCTGGTGTGTTGCAATTCTCCAAAAATAGAAGTCGCCTTTACATGTTGGACCTGTCGTACAACTTGTTGACGCATTTGTCGGGAGAGTCGTTTGTGAATATCAACAACTTGAGAAGTTTGTATCTGCAAGGAAACAAGTTGAAGACGTTGGGAGACCACTTCTTCGCGAAGTTCAAGCATTTGAACTACTTGAACTTATGTTGTAGCAACATGGGAACGCTTCGCATGACATTTAAATATTTGCCGTCTCTGAAAGAATTAAATTTATCTTATAATCGTTTGAAGAAGGTCGACTTATCTGAAGTGAAGTCACTGGAAACAATTGATTTGTCTCATAATGACTTCGAAGAAATGTACTTTGAGGATTTCAAAGGTTTACCAATAGTAAAAGTAGATCTCAGTTTTAATAAACTGAAGGAACTGAACGTTGAAGACAGTGTCGTAGACAGTAACGCAAGTAGACCACTAGTCAAATTGTATCTCCACAATAATAACATAGAGTACATCGACGAGTCTTTCTTTAATATATTTAGTTACATAGCGATATTAAATTTAAGTTACAACAATATTGTCCAGTTTAAGGCTGACACTTTCCGATATGTGAATGTGTTAAAAATTTTAATTGTCTCAAACAATCCTAAATTACGTTTAGCCGACGATATAAGTAAAGAGTTACCTCAGACGTTCACAATAGGAAAGTTTCCACCAAGTCAAATCCAAAATCTAGTATTTACATAGAAAGCACTCGGGTATTTATTTGTTAGATTACAATAATTATGTAATCTAGGTATGTATACATTACTGCACGTCAATGGCACAATGCCTGGCCAACTAGCTGCGAGCCAGCGACCTATGTGCAACACTTTGCGCGTTCGATTCCCGCCTCTGGGTCTGTGACGTGTGCAATACGTACCTACTTCAGGCAGGAACGAGGAAATGTATGGGCTGACCCCACCTATCGACACATTTGATGGCGTACTTTTATCATGTAATACATATTGGCATCATCGTCATTTTTACATTGGTGATATCCACCGCAGATGGGCACATGAAGTACTTACATTAATTATAATCTTTATACAAATTGAACTATAAGTAATATAGGACACACATTCAGTCCTTTTCACTTTTGTTATTTTTGTGGTACAGATATTATAACATAACACGCCTTTAACTTCCAAAAGAAAGCAGAAGTGCATAATAATAAATTTAATATTTAGGTGTTCAATGAAAAGCCATTTTTTACTAAGTACCTATTAAAATGTTTTTAACGTTTGTGTTTTGGTTTTTATGATGTTATGGAATATTACCTTAACCTAAGTGCCTAAAATGGTATGCATAGATGCGCATTTTGAAAATATTAACCCTAACAATTAAGTACCTACTTTTCAATAGATAGAAACAGAAAGAAAACCTGTTTATTTTTGATGTGCTGACATGGGGGGGGGGATATAACATTTAACAGGTTTTTGTCCCGCGACCAATATTCTGGGGAATTATTAGACGTTGCCACGCCATCTTGCGAAGATCTTCGATCTATGAGTCAACAGTATTGGGTACCGCTAGATGGCAATAGCAATTTAACGATTCTCTACGTCACGTAGACTTACGAGCACAGGAAGGACAGGCAGCGCTATTGCCAAAAAACGTTACACAGAAAGTAGATCTCTGCACTGAATCACTACTCATAGTACTACAATACATGCTTACATAACTTCACGCATGTCTCCAATGGGGGTAGGCAGACACTATGGAACCAAGCCAATTACTAGATACGATTCCTACAGAGGTACCTCTTTCGCTTCATCAACAGTCATCAATCTTTCTCTTCATGCATGCTCGTCGGTTTAGGGTACTTTTGATTTGGCTACTATATATGTACTTCTAGGGCGCCCTCTACCGACGGCCCCATTCATATTCGCTCTGTATACTTCTTCCGTTACTCTACTTTCATCCATCCTTTCTACATGCTCAAACCAGCGTAACATTCCCTTTTCAATACTTGTTACAACATCATCTTTCAATCCACACCTTTCTCTAATAACACTATTTTTCACTCAACCACTCAATTTTAGTCCACACATACTTCTCAGTCTCAGGGCACTCATTTCCACCGCATTAATCCTGCTTTCATGCTTCTTCTGCCATGCCATGATTTACTACCATACATAAGCGTTGGTGTCAATAAACACTGCATTGCAGCAAGTCGAGCTTTGCTGGATATTATTTTACTCGACATTTCAGAGTGTAAGGCACCATCAACACTATTTCCCGCTTTCACTCTCTTGTCTCTCGGCACAATTACGGCGTTGGCCCAGTCTTCAGGGACAAGACCACATCGTAATAAGTAAATTATGATGCTGGATAACCGACGAGTTCCCAGACAAGCACCGGCCGATGGTTAAGTTGATTTCTGTTCAGCTTACGTTGTTGTTGATGAAACACCTTTCGACTATTTGAAGCTACAACGACAGGTGAATGAAACAAAGTTCTTCGTCACATAATTTATTCAGTTCCGTAATAGTAAGTAACCTTATCAACTTAAACACTATGACTTAAACAAAACATCACATTACAGCGCCATCTTGCGGCCCTCTATGGAGATCTCGACGGCGCGCCGGGACCCGCTCTTCATGCGCTTCTGGTCCATGAACCGCTTCATCTGCTTCTCGTAGCGCGTCATCTTCTTCTTGGTGGTCTGTAACAGAGGACGGGCCCGTGAGTGCGACGCAGTACCGGAGAGAGCGTAATGTAGCAGTACTCACCCGCGACATGTCGAGCTCGCACGTGGACTTGGGGCGGTACACGTAGTCCTTGGAGGACGGCGTGGGCACGCGCGCGCGCGCCACCCAGCCGGGCGCGCCAGGCCGCGCGGGGGCGGCGGCGGGCTCGTCGCGCGCGCGCTTGGCCGGCGGCGACCCCGCGCGCCGCCGCGCGCCCGCCATGGCCTCGTCGCGCGCCTGGCGCTCCTCGCGCGTCATGGCCTTGAAGTCCGTAGACAGGTTGAAGATGGGCCGCGCCCACTCCGATATGAGACGGCCGGCGCGCTCGCGGTTGGCCTTGGTCTCCTTGGGGTGCTTGTACAGGTACATCACGGCCTTGCCGATGCCGGACTGTTTCAGCAGCGACTTGTCTATCGACGGGAACTGCAACGTGCGACCGAGAACTTTCATATACTCGACATATTGTTATGGATAATCGACTATTCGACGAATGAAGAAAAGAAGACTTACGTCCATGAGCAACTTGAGGATACTCTCCCGGATGAGCAGACAGGGCAAGGCTCGGTTGGGCATGGGCGCGAGCCAGTCGCAGAGGACGTTGAGCACGTTGTGCTCGAGGAAGGCAAGCTGCAGGTCCTTCTTGATGAGCTGCGACATGGCGGCCTTCAGCATGGACACCTTGCGCACGGCGGGCTGGTTGCGCTTGTTGAGGTCGCGGTCCTCGTCGGCGGCGGCGCGCATCTGTTGCAGGAGCTGCGCGATGAGGTCGTCGTTGTCGTTGATGATGTCGATGTCCCGCCGCCGCCGCCGGCCGCGCCGCTCCTCTCGCTTGCGCGCCAACATGAGCTCGAAGTCCGACATGCCGGCCGCCATCTCTGCCGACTTCATGTCGGGCTCCAGCTCGTCGTCCGACGAGTCGGCGGCCGGCGCGGCGTCCTGCCTGTCGGGGGGCGGGGCGGCGGAGGCGCCGGGCGAGGCGGGGGACGCGGGCTGCGCGGGCTCGTCGTCAGACTGCAGGCGCACAGCGCGTCGCTTGTGTGCGCGCCGGGACCCCGCGCTAGAGTGGGAGCCCGACCTCGAGCGGGACCGGGACTTGGAGCGGGAGCCAGATTTGGAACGTGAGCGGGATTTGGAGCGTGAGCGGGATTTGGAGCGTGAGCGGGATTTGGAGCGGGAGCGGGATTTGGAGCGTGAGCGGGATTTGGAGCGAGAGCGGGATTTGGAGCGTGAGCGGGATTTGGACCGGGAGCGGGACTTGGAGCGAGAGCGGGATTTTGAGCGTGAGCCGGAGCGCGACCTGGAGCGAGACCTCGACTTGGACCGCGAACCAGATCGTGACCGCGAGCCAGCCTTCCGAGCGCCAGATCCGGACCTCGAGCGACTCCTACTTTTACGCACTGGAATAATAGACATACTCATTAGTTCAATAAATAATTTAAAACACAATCAACAAGTATCATAACGTTTTATTACTGTTTGTGTCTTCTTAAACGACTTCAAAAAAAGGAAGAAGTACTCAATTCCATCGTATATATTATGCTTTTTCTTATGTTTGTTCACCGATATCTCCGTTATTTATAAGCCGATTTTGATAATTCTTTTTCGTTGGAAAGGAGATAGCCCCAGAATGGTCCCATGATAAGGAAATCAGGATCTGAAGATGAAAGACCAGAGATATCGAGGGGAACTTTCGAAAGTTGTAGGGGCGAGTAATTATACGTCTATTATGTTTTTCAATCATCATCATCATCATCATCATCATCAACAGCCGGAAGACGTCCACTGCTGGACAAAGGCCTCCCCCTTATTTGTTTTTAGTTTTGGGCTTTTTGAAGTCCGTTTTTTATACGCAGTTTTAATTTATAGTACAAAAAACTATCTTAGGTATCTAAATATTTTCGAGAAAATCTTAAGAAAGGTAGTAAGTAACAGCTGACTTTCTAGTAACTAACATATTCTCTATGCTCGATCAGATAGCAAATCATGACCTCTAGACCACTACAAAGAAGCAGCTTTCTCAGAATAGTTGTTTCTCTGATGTGTAGCTTGCTCTCGGAGTACTTCTTATGTCTTTCTTTTCTTACTCAGATTAGTTCAGATTAAAATAAAAACATAAAATATCACATAATACTTTACCTTGATCAGGTGATTTTGATCTGGACCGAGACTTGGATCGTGATCTTGAATGAGACTTGGATTTTGAGTGTCGCGAAGCGGATCGGGAGCGTGAGCGGGAACGGCGAGTTTCTGTAACAAGATCAGGTCAGATACAAAGTGACTTGTACTGTAGTGTTGTGTAACACCGTACACGCAGTACACGAGTAGTACCTAAGTAGTACACGAGCTGAGACTCACCTGCCGCATCAACCTCCATGCCTTGCGCCGGGGACCCACTGCGCGACCGAGACCGCGACTTGTGGGAGCCGCTGTGGGACCGTGTGCTTGACTTTGAGCGAGACCTGGACTTAGATCGGGACCGAGACTTGGAGCGGGACCGAGATTTGGAACGGGACCGAGACTTGGAACGCGACCGAGACTTGGAACGCGAACGAGAGTGAGACTTGGAACGCGAGCGAGAATGAGATTTAGAACGCGAGCGAGAGCGAGATTTGGAAAGCGAGCGAGACTTAGAACGCGACTGAGACTTGGAACGCGAACGAGACTTGGAACGCGAGTGAGCGGAGCGTGACCTTGACTTGGAGCGGGAGCGCGACTTGGAACGTGACGTAGATCTAGAGTTGCGTCTTGAATGCGTGGAGCCATCGTGAGACATCCTGGACACTGAGCCCGCCTGGGTACAAACAGAACAATCTGCAATATAGTAATGCACTTACGAACAATACACATTAGTTTATCTGTGACACTACCCAACAGCCACCAACTGTCCTTGCAGACAAATACTATCAGATGTACATACATTAACAAGTAACTAATAATAGCAAACTGCTTTTAAATATGATGCAGTCGGTGGCGCTGTGGGCTGGGTCGCTCCGTTCCCTACGAAATGGTTGATCGGCCCGATTGCTGGCCCTCACGTCATGCTCGTGAACGGGCGCCTTCTGCTGGAGCAGGTCGGCTCGCTCATCGCGCGTGTGGGCCGATCCAGTAAGGTTAATGTAAATGTAATAAAACATGTATTGTGTATATATAGATATTAGACACAACCTTTGTGAAAAAATAAATGTGGTTAATGTGGCACGTAAGATTGTTGTCACAATTAATTTTGACTGTAAATTAAAAGAAAATGTAAAGGAATGACAAGGCCACGGACAAGAGTCCGTGGAGAATAAAAAATGTAATATTAAAAAAAAAATGATGCCTTGTTGAGGTGGTATTTAAAAGCAATTATTAGTGTTACACCTGCACTTAGTTCTGCAAGTTGTGCAATAATCAAGATGGTGTTGTTGCATGCTGTGCCTTAGAAGTAGATAGAGTACATGCAATACTTACCGAGGGACTGCGGCTGCGGGAGCCGGAGTGGGAGCGTTGCCCTCCTGCACAACACATGACACCAGTAAGTACAGCTCTAGTTCCATAACTCATTATTACATTCACTTCAGCTTGGCAAAGATAAACCTGTGTTTCTCACAAACTATTTTATCGAAATTCATAAGGTCACCAAAATTACCAATTCAACTTAATTCAACAGTTTATGAATTAAACTGTTGCAATGTTATGATAGCTGTGAAAACGTAATGTCCCTAAATTAATATATTCACTACAAGTAGCAGTAAGTATAAGGATTGAAACAAAACTGTACACACTAAACAACTATTGGAATATTATACATAGTAACTAGTTGCATGTAACTATACCATTTGAAATCAGTAGTGAATTCATTAATCTGTCAAACACCAAGCGGTCACCGGTGACCGCGACCTATTGTTCTTTAATTGTGTCTATAAAACCGGTACTCGACGAGTTAAAGGAATATTGTCACAATGTAATTTTATTTGAATACTAGAAATACAATGCAGGGTATAATTTTTCAAACAAAGCTTGATAAAATCAGACCAGTCATCATTCTCATTGGCATATCAATCAAACAAATGCAGAAAATTTAAGAGGAGATAACTGCATTCAGTTCTAGTACAAGCTGTACAAGCTGTACAAGCAAATTAATGGGATTGTAGTCTATGGGCTTTACCCATAGACTTAAATTAGTTTAAGAGCACAATTTAACATGTCAACTGCCATGTACATCACCGGTGACGGGAGTTAACAGAAGATTCGCCATCAACAGTTTCCTGTTGGCAGTAAATATTGAGAGAACAAAATAATATTTTTAATTTCAACAAAATAATCAATAATCTTATTAATCATTACTCCAAATGATTAAAAATATATTTTAAAACACCACATGTAGAAATGAAGCAACTAATGGATGCTTTCTGATACAATTTATTGATCCTTTTTCTGTGAATTCTTTACAATCTTATGCTCTGAAGTTGTGTGTAACACAAGCGATCCTCCTGCATCTTCACTATGTTACCTCAAAATAATACTTCTTGAAGAGTGAATTTTCAAATCAGTAGTTTTTAGCCACTTTGCAGCGGCTAAAAACAAACAAATCTCTCCTCTTTACAATGTTAGTAATTTCGTATAGGTAGATTAAGTTTTTTACTTGTGTAAATTAAATCACAATTTTATAAAACTTTGTTGAATGTTAAGTTACGTAGCTTCTCGAGAAACAACAACTTCATCAGAAGAGCCGCCTGTGGCATTTTACTAGTTCAGCCACCCCATAGTTACGCCACTGATATTATACTGTTACTATGTTATTATTTCCTAGCTAAACAACGAAACGTTCACATGTGTAGCATTACTATTTACAAGATTTAAATAATAATTTAACATTACTCCAATCTGACATAACAATTTATGATATTGAGGTTATAAAAAGAACAAAATTAATAGCAAACCTGTATCCACGTCCATTGTTATCTTTATATGTAGGTACGGAACGCACTAAGGTGCTCTACGAAACTAATTGAGCGGCATGTGTAAAACTATTAACACAAAATATTACGTTTAAATACCACACAATGAGAATAATCTAGAGCAAACTGACGAAATAAAACGAAAACGGCAGTTCACTACACTGACTTGTCGACTGAACTTCACTGACTGACAACCAAAAGACAGAAATACCAGTCCACAGCACAAATTCAATGCAATCGACAACTTCAACTGACATGACAACTATTGCAGTGTTACCAACTCTTAAACATAGTTATCCCTTATCTTATCAGTAATAATTTATTGGATTATGAATATAAAAATAAGAACTACATAAATATTTACAACTTAAAATTAACTACAACTAAAGAATTGAATAAAAGTAAAAAAAAATTATAATCTTATGGAGATATTTCTTTTTCGGTCATACTTGTACAGTTACTGAGAAAGAGGAAAAACTACCATGAATCAAGGAAAAATAATATTTGGTCAATATCATAGAGCAACACGAGCCGTGTTGCTTTTTTTTCGTTTTTAGTTTTTACTTATCGTTTGCCATTAGTTTTTGAAGTCGGTTTTTTTAAACGCAGTTTTTTAATTTTATTTTTAATTTGTACTTATTATATACTTGAAAATAGGAAAAACATGTTGCTATTCCATGCAGTGGCTTATTTTTCACCTTCCCTATTATGTACATTATGGTGGCCAGAGTCCATACTGTCTGTGGAAATGGTGGAATTAGTAGAATATATGAATATATCTATGAATAGAAACTAGTAGAAACGTGGTGGGTAGTTTTATGTTTAATGTCATCATGAAAGGCGCCACAGTCATTCCCATAGCAATGGGGGTCTAACGTTTCTTTGCTCACCAGATGGCGCTAATGTAGACGGGGATTTTTATCCAATCAGAGCAGCTGTCAAATATTGAACGACCAATGGTGTGATACTAGCTAATTCCCTATTGGACAAAGAACGAGATTAACATACTAGCGCCATCTGGTGAGCAAAATACGGACCCATTACCCCTACGTGCGGTGCGACCAGAGTATTGTTATGAATTACCGATAACATTTTGACTAGTAACATCTAAAATAATAAAAAACACAGTCAATTATTAGGTCTTCATTTATTTGCGGAAATGATATATTTGACGGGGGAAGCGGTTCGGTATCGCTCATTGTGGGCCTCTGTGGACAGTGTTAGCACGAGAATTACACAAGGCTTCGTTTTTGCAATCGTTTTAATGTAGGTACAATCAAATAGAAATTACACAGCAGATGGAACGCGTGATAGTTTTAGTGTCGTCCGCACGGGGTGAACTCCAACCAAAAAGTGCTCCGCTAGCGGCCGCTGCCGCTGCCCCGGTCCACTGGCAATCCCCCACCCCGGTGCATTCCAACACTAACTCCATCGAACGCCACTAGATGGCGCTGGCGTCCCAAAGCTGTTTCCTGATATTGCCGACACGGCCATCCTGCTATCACACGTCCTCGTGTGTTGGACCACCTGGAATACAGGAAAAGCCACAACAGTACACCATGGTTCATATAGTGAAACCCTACGCAATAGGGTAATAAAACAAACTCTATGCTCTACACTTAGTTTATTTCGAGATCTCTACAAAATCTCAATCATAAATGTCTACTACAAAATCACTATACACACACTACCTATAGTATACCACAGTCAAGTACCACCTTCGTCATAACAAGTACAACTATAAGTTACAACCAGATTTACAGAAATCTCCGAGTAAAGGCCTCCAACTCCACGGCTCTCTAGCCGACCAGCAATCGCATTGCTCTCTCACTCATCTCAGTACGCATACCCATCGAATGGATCACCCGTGTACACCACCTCTGCGGTTACACGCTACGGTCTCTACAGACCACGACCTCCGCCAGAGTTGAAAGCACACCGCGCACCCACGGACTACTTGAGTTACCTCAAGAGATACCGATTTCTATCGGGCTACGACTACTAAACAACTACTGGTACGGTCGAATACATTACGGACGATAGAGTCATTCACTCGAGTTTCTCTAACCTTCTATACTTCAACATCATCAACATGATCCTCCAATACATCAATCTCGACTGGTACTTGACTTGCTGGCATTTTCCTTAACCTATCGTGAGCAAATTTGTACGTACGTTTACAATTCAAAGATTTCAGTGTGTAACGATCACCTTCCAAAACTTCCACCACTTTAAATGGTCCTCTGAATTTCGAATCTAATTTTGTCTGATTTCGCTCTTCGTTCTCTAACAACACAAAATCGCCAATTGCAAAATTATTAACTTTCGCCTTTGTTGCATCAAAACGGGACTTATCGTAATCCGCACACTTCCTAATATTGTCTGATGCTACTTTACGCATTTCGTCAATGTCAACGTCAGTCTCTACCTCATTACTACACATCAGTGATAACGGTCTTGCAACTTTACCAATAAAAAGCTCTAGAGGCGAAGCTTTTGTTGTACGGTTCATCGTACAATTTATCGCGAGCTGTACATCACCTATAGCGTCTTGCCACGATCTATTATCACTAGTCTCTATCGCAGTTAGCATAGATTTTAACACACTCATGACACGCTCCACCTGCCCGTTCGCACGAGATGAACCAGTTGCTATAAGATGCAAATTAATGTTCTTGCTCTCGCAAAAATCCCGAAAATCTCTACTTGCAAAACATCTTCCCTGATCGGCAATGATGCGACTCGGAGCACCAAATAGAGCTACACTTTGAGTAACCGCACGTATACTACTCTTAGAATCAATGTTTGTCGCATGAAACAAAAGAACGTACTTCGTAAAAGCGTCAATCAGAACAAAAATGTACTCCTTCTTATCATTTTTACCGCTAAGCTTACCCGTAGCGTCTATGTGAACCGTGTGCCATGGGATTGTCACTTTAGGGATCGGATGCAATTCTGCTTGGATCTTCCCGGAATGAGATTTTGCGACTTTACACGTGACACAGTTATCTACAAACTTTTTTACGTACTGCGACATCCCCGGAAACCAATAAAAATCGAAAAGCTTTTCAGAGGTCTTCTCAGCTCCAAGATGAACAATAGAGTCATGAAAATTGTTTACTACGGACCATCGGAGAACTCGAGGCAAGTAAGGCAAACTTTTAGACCTACCGTGACGTTGAATGATACGGTAGAGTATACCCGATCGTAGTTCATACGTCTTAGCTATTTGTTCATCTAAGTTATTTTTCTCTACATCGGTCATTATTTTAGAAATCTCTACATCGCGCTGCTGTTCAGCTTGAAGCCAGTCAGGAGAGAGTTTAGCAATGTCGATACGCTTTGGCTCTATATGGGGCTCTACTAGTTTCAAATCTGCGGGTAAGGGATTTCGGGAAAAGAAATCTACGTGTGACATACGTTTTCCTTCTTTGTACATCACGTCAAAATCAAAAGACTGTAAGAAAGCCCACCATCTATGAGCTCTAGGAGTTAACTCTTTCTTTGTTTGAGACGATTTTAATGAATTACAATCTGTAACTACGGTAAACTTTCTACCATGCAGGTATTGCCTAAAATGTTTAATTGAGTTTACAACTGCAAGAGTTTCGAGCTCATATGAATGGTATTTACTTTCTGCAGGGGATGTTCTCTTGCTAAAGTAGGCTACTACGCGGCGCTTACCGTCGGTCGTTATTTGAAACAAAATGGACCCATAGCCTATGCTACTCGCGTCAGTGTGGAGCTCTACTGAGAGTCCCGGATCATATATTGCCAGCAGTGGATCATTTGTCAAGATAGAGATGACCTTTTGACGAATATCCTCATGCTCTGGTTTCCAATTCAGATCACCTTTTAACGACGTTAGACGGTATAAGGGTGCCATTATTCGTGAAAAGTCTCGCACAAAGTTACGGAAATAAGAAGCTAATCCGATAAACTGTCGCAATTGAGTCACCGTCTCCGGCGGTGGAAGAGATGTCAAAGCTTCTATTTTATTACGATTAGGCTTGATCTGACCAGCCTCCACTTCAAACCCTAAAAACTCTACCTTCGTCTTGAGGAAGGAGCACTTTTCAAGGTTTAAAGAAAAGCCAGCCTTTGTCAGAGACTCTAACACTGTATTAAGCCTTCCTATACCGGACTCTACATCGGGGGAAACGATTAAAACGTCATCAACGTAAACGATCACGTAGTCATAAGCTAAATCACCTAACGCATTCATAATAGCCCTTTGAAATACCGAAATTGCATTCTTAAGGCCAAACGGCATAGTTAAAAATTCAAATTGCCCCTCAGACGTTATGAAAGCAGTGCGCTCTATAGAGTCTTCACTTACAGGAATTAAATGAAACCCGCTAGCGCAATCTAACTTCGAGAAATAATTAGCCCCCTGAAGACGTGAAATTTGATCGGTGATCAACGGAAGTGGGAAACGGTCCGGGACCGTATTATTGTTAAGTTCCCGGTAGTCTATACACATACGGTCGGAACCGTCATGCTTCTTTACTAATAAGGCTGGGCTTGCAAATGGAGAACAGCTTGGTCTGATAATGTTCGCGTCTAACAGTTGCTTAACCCGGTCGCGTATAACTCTGCGTTCCTCTACCGACATTCTATAAGGACGCCGCTGTACTGTGCGATTAGGATCAATTAATCTTATTTTAAGCTCTCCGGTATTTACTCGAGTCGTTGGAAAACCCGTTATGAAAAATTCGGAAAATCGATTCAAAGTTTCTAAAAGTTTCAATTTATCACAACCGGTTATATCGATCGAGGTGTCAGACAAATTCAATTTACTCGCGTTATTGCTACTATTCACTGAATTTACGCAGAGAACTCTATCAAAAGAAATTTTAGTCGCAGTCATATTAACAGTAAAACCCTGACTTAAAATCTCGCGACCTATCATGACATTACTTTGCAAATAATTATCAGGCAAAACGTGTAATAAAATTTCCAGAGGGTGATCGTTAATAGCAACACAACACAAAATCTGTACTGTACTGAATGCTCGTGTTTGACCAATACCAGTCATAGCGACAGTATTACTAAAACGTTTACCGCTAAATTTAACAGCAAAACTTTCTTTAACTAACGAACATTCAGCGCCAGAATCGTAAGTAAAAGTAATCAATTCACCTTTATGGTGTAATACACCCTGCGGAGGTAGAACGCTGCACACGTCCACGCGTCGCTCGCCGCGCGCTGCGCCGGCGCCGCCGTTGCTGCTGCCGTCACTCGTTGCGCCGCCGCTCGTGCATCTGGCAGCGATGTGGCCCGGCTTGCCGCATTTGAAGCACACAAACTGCCTCGCTGCTGGTTGCTGCGTCGCTTGACTCGATGTTGTAGGTGTTGATGCTCGTCCCTTCGAGTCGATGGGTTTTCCTCTGCATTCCGCTCGCTTATGACCCGCTTTTCCACAGTTGTAACACTTCAGTGGCGTAGTTTTCAGGCGTTTAGGTTCATACGAATTTGGCGAATCATCGGCACTATTTATTTTGCGTTTCAAGTGGGCGAACGCGTTTAATTCTTGTTGTAATTTCTCTCTTGACGCAATGTTAGTCGTAAACGCCATACGTTGTATTCGTGGGTCAAACTGTGATATGTGAGCGAGCACAGTAGCCACAGCTATCTCTTCTTTCTTCACATCCTTCCAGCGATTTGTTAGAGAAGCTATCAAACGGCTTGCATAAGCGGGTAACGTTTCTTTTTCTTTGGGTTTGTCATTATTAAATTTAATGAGGGTACCCGCCAAAGTTTCCGTCGAAATAAATCTTGACGTAAAAAGAATCTTGAATTCGCACCATGTCATGTTCTCGTATGCTATCTGGGACAGCCACGTGGATGCTTCACCTTTTAGCGCCTTACTCACAGAAAGCACGAGCTGACCGCCGCTTGGAGGGTTGTGGGAAAAACATAATTCTGCCGTTGCGCACCACGATCTCGCGTCCGTGTCTTCTTTAGCCGGATCAAACGTGGGTAGTTCTACCCGAATAGGCTTGGGTGTTTGTAAAGCTTCGATCAGTGCACGCATGTTCGCATTTTGTTGCTCAAACATAGCACGCCAATGATTATCCGCATTGTTCTCATTCTGTGCCAACACTGATCCCACTTCTGATGACGGGGGAAGCGGTTCGGTATCGCTCATTGTGGGCCTCTGTGGACAGTGTTAGCACGAGAATTACACAAGGCTTCGTTTTTGCAATCGTTTTAATGTAGGTACAATCAAATAGAAATTACACAGCAGATGGAACGCGTGATAGTTTTAGTGTCGTCCGCACGGGGTGAACTCCAACCAAAAAGTGCTCCGCTAGCGGCCGCTGCCGCTGCCCCGGTCCACTGGCAATCCCCCACCCCGGTGCATTCCAACACTAACTCCATCGAACGCCACTAGATGGCGCTGGCGTCCCAAAGCTGTTTCCTGATATTGCCGACATATTTATATTGTAAAGCTAACCCAGTAAAAATTGTCAAACTCTACTCCGAATGATAAGTGTCCTTCTGCATTTTTAATAACCTTCTTCTAAGTTTTATTCACTTAAATTTCTTGCATAGATATATAACATCATATCAGTGATTTCTTGTTTTAACATAAACCACGATGCGCAAAACAGTTGATAACAGCTGATGACATTCAAACAACATGTCAAGTGAAATTGACAAGTAACGGTACAAAAATACTCGTAAACGTAATGTCACAAAGGAGGTGATTTCAAAATAAACAAAATATTTTCTTATCTTTACATAATTAATAAGTGCATTATGGATGACGAGGACACACTGCCTTTAAAGCGAGTGGAGTTCTCCCTTACAAAGTTCAACGAGGTAGCAATTCCTCATCATTTGGATTTACTGCGACAGCATAAGGCGAATATTATCAAGGTAACGTGCGTCGTACTCTATTTCTATACTCTTTGTTTAGCTGGAACAGCTCGGCTGCCCGTGCCATCGATTTGCGTAACTAACACTGTACTAATGCGTGCTGCACATGTTACAAGTATTCAGGTTCCAATCAATAAGTCAATAAAATTAAGTGTTACGCGTACTTCTGTGTATATTATTGGTATCCACAAAAATGAAAATTAATTGAAGCAATTCCAACTATACAGTTCCATTGGAAATAGTATTTTATCAGTTTACCTATTTAGATAAAATAATAGTATCAGTTTAATTAGGAATCATAACAATAATTCAACGTAGTTTAAGGACATAACTATATAGAATAATATTTTAGTTTTATTACACATAAACACACTATATTCATCCAGTAGTACTACTGTACTTTGTAATTATGGTAGTAAATAGGTCAGTATATTATTATGTACACTTAACCAATAATATAATACATAAATAAAATAAAACAATTGTTGGTGTTTGCAGAGGCTGTATGATTCTCGTTTTATTTTTTATTGATATCTCAATACACCAGAAATTTCTTCTTTACCATAGGTGCAGACAGTTCCCAGATCTATGCAATGTGTAAATTACATAGATGGGTATTTATTCTGAGTGGCTACAGTTAGCATTAGAGTGTTAGTTTTTGGTTAATTTAGTTTCTGGAACAACCACTTCATTGTTTTTATGTGATATTCAAATTATTGTTTGGGACGTGTCTATAAATATGTGACATGCTTGTCAACATAATGAATACCAGACAAATGTTTAGAGTTGAATTTGGAGTTTGGACCTAGTTTGGCCGAAGTCAGCTAAGTGGCACTTTTTCTTAAATAGAGTTATTAACACAGCCATACTAAATTCGACATGCCGTATTTTTTGCAAAGACAGCAATCTCAAAATCACTTCTTATGGCTGAGATATGAGCCCTCAAATACAGCCATTCAACAAAAAATAATTTATATAAAACAGTCATCATGTTGTAAAATGCAGCCAATATTGACGCAAACTGCCTTACCCATAAGTCAGCTATGTAGCTGTTTCATACAAATTTCTAAGAGGTATTGGATATCGAGTTTTGTAAAATGCAGCCAGTGTATGTTGGCTGTTTTCTGTATATTATACAGGAGACTTGTAAATCGACATATTCCTCTCAGGATGTAGCTAATAAACCATTGAAGTTTTTCTAATAGTTTGTACGCTTAGTGTAATATATATATATATTTTTTTAAATAAATCCAGTTTTCTGTTGACCAAATTAGTGACTCAAAACAAAAATTTTATACTAATTGTTGCATGCTATTTTTAAACGAATGATATTTCTAAAAGTATTAGTATTAATAAAATCGCTTAAATCAAACTAGTAGCTTTATTAATTAATGTTTTTGTAGTTAGATCGGGATTTTTGCACCAAAACCGAAAATGTAGAATATCTCAGAAACTAGCCACTTTCGGAACAAAGACCTCAGGGCTATTTTTGTAGGAAATTAGGCGTATTATCACTTCCCGAGAGGAATACTATCTGTTGTTTACTTAGATTCCGGTAATTTTGGATCCGCCTGACTACATTACTGATATAGGTTTTGTTATTGTTTATTATCTGGTCTGTCTTTTATATACTGATATTCTATTTTGAATGAATGCAGAATAAATCAAATAAACAAGAAAGTAATAAATGACTGAAAGGCATCATTATTAGAACTCAGTAGGTACATTTGTAATTGGGCTCGCGGCTCTCCTGCCGAGTTAGTGATGGCCCGTGTTGGCACTGTCCCAGTACGAGCGCGCGGGCGAGTGGCGTCGCGCGCGCGGGGCGGCGAGCGAGGCGGCGCGCGCGGCGGGCCGCCTGCGCGAGCTGCTGACGGAGCTGTGCGCGCTGCGCGGCCGCGTGCGCCCGCCCGACCGCGCGCGCTTCGACGCGCTCACGCAGCACTCGCGGGACGCCACGCTGCGTGCCGTCAGAGACTACCTCGGTAACTGACTACAGCCTCGATTATATATATTTGCCATAAGCTCGCAATCAGAGTAAAATGTTGAATGAGAAATGAGGTGCCCCGGCAGGCAGCGCCCCGCAGTCGATAGGTCGGGGCGCCGCGGAGACGGCGCCGGTGGCGGGCAGCGCGGTGTCCACGGACTCCGTGGGCGTGGTGGCGCACGCTCAGCCCGGCACCGACCTGGTGGCGGGGGATATACAACTCTACGTCGATGAACAGGTACTCATTACATAACATTAGCTGCACAACATACAGAAAATCGTTTATTTGTTGCTTCTCAGGTTCTTGTTTTCGTTTTCCCGTAAATCTAATAAATCGGACTCCGAAACATGACTTCACTATGAAGGCAAATCATTTGTTATTGTCAAAAGTCTATACTTATCAACTGAAATGTTTGCAAATTTGAGGAAGTTGCGAGTGGTAACTAGCAGTAGTGTATTGTGGTATGCACAGGAAGTGAATCTGCAAGAGCGCGAGGCATTACTCCGCGGCTGCAGCGAGCTCCAGGCCGAGCTACTGGCACTGCATCACGTCTGGGAGGACACGCAGCGCGCCGCGCTCGCCCAGCGGGAACAGGTCCGTGCTGTCACAGGACACTACACAGCACATACACTACACAGTACTTTCACTACACAGTACATACACTACACAGCACATACACTACACAGTACTTTCACTACACAGTACATACACTACACAGTACTTTCACTACACAGTACATACACTACACAGCACATACACTACACAGTACATTCACTACACAGTACATACACTACACAGCACATACACTACACAGTACATTCACTACACGGTACATACACTACACAGCACATACACTACACAGCACATACACTACACAGCACATACACTACACAGCACATACACTACACAGCACATACACTACACAGCACATACACTACACAGTACATTCACTACACAGTACCCAGTACAAGACGAGTGCCGCGTGTTGCAGGTGTCGGCGGCGGAGACGAGCGTGGCAGTGGCGGCCGACAACATTAGCGCCGCGCGACAATATCTCGCCGTCGGGGAGAGGTGAGTGGGGGGGGAGGGGTTCTAATTTTATTATATGCTAGCGTCTGCTAGACGAGATGGGGAAAGTCTTCGAAAGAATCATTTAGAACCGCCTCATCGCGCACCTGTCGGATGTTGGGCTGGACCTGTCGGACGATCAGTTCGGCTTCCGAAGAAGGCGGTCCACGGTGGATGCCATCATGCGCGTTAGAGATCTTACCTCGCGCAGTGTCCAGGGGTAAGGTCGTAGTAGCGGTGTCTTTGAACATCGCCGACGCCTTCAACTCCCTGCCCTGGAGCTGCATCTTGGTAGTATTCCGATATCATCGGGTGCCCACCTATCTCCGTCGAGTAATCGAGGCCTACCTGACGGACAGGTCCGTCAGCTGCCCCGGTCACCGGGGCGAGTGGAACCGGCGAGAGAGCTCACCCGGTTCCGCAGGGTTCGGTTCTGGGGCCGCTCCTATAGAACATCGGCTATGACTGGGTGCTGCGCACCGACCTCCCGATTGGCGTTGGCATCGTGTGCTATGCCGACGACACGCTGGTGCTAGCGCACGGGAGGTCCCACCAGGCGGCGGTCGATTTGATGGCGATAGCGGTTGCGACAGTCGTTGAAAGAATCCGGCAATTGGGAGTCGATGTGGTGCTCCACAAGTCCGAGACCATGTGTTTTCATGGCTGAGTAACGTGTCCTCCGGATGGGTCCCAAATAACGGTGGGAAGGATTACCATCGACGTCGGGAGCCCCTTTGTGGGCGCCGAATCTGATGCGGCGGCCCGCTCGGGCGCTGCTCACGTCTCGGAGGTTCATGGCGATCCGAGTGATCCGCGGATACTGCTCTATCTCCGGGGAGGCGGCGAACCTCCTTGCCGGATTACCGCCGTGGGATCTGGAGGCGAAGGTGCTCGCGCGCGTGTTTCATCTAGGCGCGGTGACACGTCACTGGGGCGAAACTCCTCTGCCACACCAGATTAGTACGTGGCGGGATGAGCCTGTGTCTGATAGGATAGGATAGGATAGCTGATACGGAGCCGTGGAGGACTTAACGAGTTGCCGGGGCTCCGGCTTGAAGCGCAGGAGTAGGAACGGGTTGGTTTCTAGGCAGTAAGAGTCTGACACTCCCTCCCGCCTCACCCAGGCGGGAGAAGTCTTTCGATGATTTTCCCCATTTAAAAAAAAACATACTACTTTTAGTTGAGTAACTGTTTGGTTGTGTTTGATTTACTTTTGATAATTTGCTTTCACACAATATTTTTTGAAACGAGTACAGACTGCGCGCGGGGGCGTGGGGCGCGGGCGGGGCGATGCTGGGGCTGGTGGCGGCGGGGCCCGTGGGGGTGCTGGTGGGCGCCAAGGCGGGGGCGCTGGCGGCCGCCGCGGGCTCCGTGCTGGGGTACCTGGGCGCCAGCCGGCTCGCGCGGCGCCGCGGCCAGCCCGAGCCCGACCCTGGCGCCGACAAGGCGGAGTAGACCTGCTGTGTAGCTCCAAGAACATGTCTACTGTCACAGCCTCACCGATGGTCTCCAAGTTTGGACATTCAGTTTGGGGAATCCGGTGTGTGGCGATACACTTGACACTCATCATGCGCGCTTCATGAATGCGAAGTATTGGGCAAATATTTTGACATAGGTTATTCGGGTTTTAAAACAGAAGTTTTTTCGTCATAATTTTATTTTGCATAACAACGCATTCATTTCGCAGAAAGTTGTGTGGCATGCACTCACTTATCATAAACTAGCAACCCGCCCTGGCTTCGCACGGGTGCAATATGCATGTATTATACTTATAAATCTTCCTTTAGAATCACTTTATCTATTAAAAAAACCGCATCAAAATCCGTTGCGTAGTTTTAAAGATCTAAGCATGCATAGGGACAGACAGACGACGGGTAGCGACTTTGTTTTATACTATGTAGTGATAGTAAATATGAAAGCGCCGCAGTCGCGGAATGCTGCTCATGAATATGAGCCTCAGCATGGCTTGAAACTAGTCGAGTTCCTCGTCAAACAGTTACGTGAGTAAGCCGAAAACATAAATAATTAATTAATATGTCCCACGATAGTTTTAATACAAACATATTAGCAGGCATGCAGTAGGGCCAAGCCGCCTGCACCACAGCCCGTGGGGCCCCTCGCCCCTCCGCCTCTACGCGCTTTAAAATTACACTCTAAGGGGAGGGCAGGCAAGACTACGGAAAGTCGGTTTTGCGGCGATTCGTTTCTGTCAATCAATTTGTAACATAACAGGTTATGACACTATTTTGTAATATGTCACGTTTATACAGGGTGACTTGTAACACGATGTATTCCTCTCGGGAAGTGATAATGCAACTAATTTTCTACAAAAATAGCCCTGAGGTCTCTGGTCTGAAAGAGGCTAGTTTTTGAGATATTCAACATTAGTATTTTATTTATTGATGTCTTTGTATTTAGATCGGGTGTTTTTTGCCCCAAAACCGCAAATGTTGAATACCTTAGAAACTAGCCACGTTAGGACCAGGAACCTCACGTCTATTTTTATAGAATACTACACCACGTCCACTAATATTTTAGTTGTATTATCACTTCCCGAGAGGAATACGTCGAGTTACAAGGCACCTCTATAGCAAAAAGGACGTCGGCCATAGGTGAGATATCGATAAAATGAAATTCAAGCAAAAAAATACCGGCGCCTCAAATATCACCATCCTTCTAAATAACATACTTAATGCTAAACGAAAGTACCTATGTGTAAAATTAATTATGACATCTGCCATGAAGTATGCCCTTGTAGATTCCGTCATGTAAACGTTCTGCCAATCAATAGATATGCTAAATTATTTTTATGTCTTAAAAATATTCGATGAAAGAACATTCTGCGAAGTGTGTTATGCCAAATAAAACTCGGACTATCAAGATTTTGCCAAATAGAAGGAACCCAGGTTATTCCAATACCGAGCATTATTTTATTTATATTAATATTCAGAATCGTCAGTATCAATAATCGATCATGGTTGTGCAGCCTCTTTCTACCTGTAGGTAAGAACAGACGTGATATTATATGTAAAGTAGGTAAGCAGTTGTCGAAATGTTTAATGTGTAGGGGTGTGTGATCCAGTGCCGCCCTCTATGGGTAACGCGTGATGTCGGTATCAGGGCGTCGCGTGGTTAATCCTACTCACGGCGTTAATGTACAAATAGATCAATAGTGCTGTAGAAAATAGCAAGAGATAACGAAATGTATAGATATAGATAGGTAAATGTAATGTGTAAATAAAATACATTGTATAATTATAATATATTTTTGTTACGAGACTTCCAGTTTTATTTGCAACCCCAAGTACCTACCCCTAAGTGTGTGTTCGATGTCTAGATCACGTGAATAAAAATTATAATTATTTTAATAAAGTATGGGGTTGTGGACCCTGTTGTGGCGATAATCTTCAGGGATTTTACGTTATGAAACTCTTCATTTCGTTAATTTCACCTTCAAAAACAAGTGCACTCGTTGTTGAATTAATATATTAAATATAACATGTCTCTTTGGCTTTTATTCCCGGAACAGGTACACAGAAATGTACAATTATAAGAAACACTGACGTATTGTCAGCTATGTTAATATTTACGCCGCGCACAATTGCAGACTTTGTTCGTGCTGAGTAAAAATCCTTTTAAATTTTAATCCCACTAGGCTAGACATTAAGTGTCATTGCAGAGCCGAAATCGTGGGTTCGACAGCCGGGCTGATTAAACAATTTTTTATTTCACTATTTCGACATGACATTTATAATCATACTCCAAAGCCTGCAACTATATTCTGGTTATGTTCATAGACTTATTACTATTACACATAAATAACCATCTATCTCTACTCGACAGTTCAGGAATTAAAAGGCGTGATGTTATTCTATGTTAGTATGTTCTAAAGGATTTGCACTCGTTGACTGCCTCTTGGACCGGTTTTTTTTGTAATTCTCAGTAGTAGCATGGAGTCTGGTATATGGCAATAGGCTCACCCCTATTACATGGGACTCATAACATAAATAGTGAAAAGTATGTGTTACATTGTACAGTGGCATTAAGTGTCACAGATAATGTGCACCTCTGCCTACCCCTTTGGGGATAAAAGTCGTGATGTTATGTTATGATTTGCACTCATTCATATGAAGTTTTGATCCTAACTGTTGCCTATTTTATGAGTTTTAATCCTACGTAATCGTCTGGTTCGCTTCGGCAATCATAAGATTTTTTACATGTTTGTGGGCTCTTATCTCTGTTCCCCTGCGAGTTGGCTAAAAGTTCTCCTTCAAATGACATATTATGTCAACACTGTTGGTTCAACGTCCAATACGCCCATGATCCTTTATAATAGGTATGTTACTTACATCAGACGAGACCAAACGTCGACCTATCAAGTATTAAAAAAAGGTGAAAAAAATGCCACTTACTAATTTCGAATAGCAATAGCTTGCATTCCATAAACAGTTATTCCTTGCTATTCGTAGTTAATAAGGCAGAATTTTTATTATACACGTGAGCTAACTCGACCGAATGATGTGACACTGCGGTCTCACAGAAAACCGACGTGAAACAACGCAAGCGTTGTAAGCAGCCGTGTGAGTGCGGTTATCGGAGACCTATTCCTTCTCCCATCCTCAATCCCCAGAAGGCACAACGCCCTTATGGCTCCTCTAGTGTTGCGGGTATCCATGGGCGGCGCTGATTTCTTATCTTCAAGTGGTCAATCTGCTCGTTTGCGACCTATCCTATTAAGAAGCAGACGTAGTTTAAAATCAATATATAAGTAATTGTAGACTAGTTTGTCTAATGTGTTGCCACATTAGTGGTTCAATTAATGAATACTTCAGTTAGAATCCCGTCACCCGCCGTGATAACATTCCTTTTACAGCAATATATAGACTTACCGTAGCCGGAGCCATGTTTACTGGACATCTCAAACTAAACAGGTAAACATCAATTCCTTTGCGTAGTGTGTAGAGTTACCTACATGGGTACGTACTATGTGCTGCTGCGGCAGAGAGTTAGTAAATAGAGTGCATCTACTCTAGGTCTAATTATAAAGCTGTTCCGTGTTTGTTGACAGGTGATAATGGTGTCCAAATATTTTCTGCTCTTTTTAATTCCGGCGCTCGTGGAGTGTCGAATATCAGTGAAAATAACAGCGGCTACCTCTGAAGCGGAGGCGGAAGTGGAGTACAACGGCGAGAATGTGGAGATCATCAGCGACCGCGAGCGAGAGACCTTCGACATCGGCGACCGCAGCCTCAAGCGAGCTGTAGAGAAGTTTGCTGACGCGGCGCCCACCGACGTGTACGTGAGGAGCCCCACGCCGTGGAACGATGTCTATAAGACTTACAAATGGGAACAAGTAAAGAGGATCCTCAAACCTATCAGAACGCGGATCTTGGGAGTGCACACCAAGCCTGTGATCGTGGCCACGCGGGAGTTCGAGAACCACAGCGGAGTCAAAGCCAAATATAACGCCGCCATCAAGCAGGAGATCCAGGAGACCGTGTCTAACACCTGGTCAGTCGGCGGAGAGCTGACAGTGGGCCAGGAGATCGAGTACAGCGTTAACTTCGCTGCGGGCAGCGCCGGGGGCAAGACTAGTCTGTCGTACGCGGCCAGCTGGGGGAACGACACCACCAAGGAGAAGTCGGCGACGTTGGGCTCGTCCACCGGGGTCGAGGTAGAGCTAGAGCCTGGGCAGGCTGTGGTGGCCAGTCTGACGGCCACGCAGGGCACGCTGGACCTGGAGGTGGAGTACGAGGCGCGCCTGGAGGGCGTCGTGTTCGCCAACTACCGCAACAAGTACCGCGACCACTACTTCTGGGCCTTCCCCGTCAGCTCCGTGCAGCTGGCCGGCGGCCTGCCGCGGACTGTCAGCTCTACTGAGAAGATCTCCATCGGCTTCTACACGAGCGCGCGTGTCGATATCAAGGACAAGGTTACCACGGGCCGCATCAAGCTAGCCCCGGCAGGCTTCGTCTAACTCTCATTGTTTCCGTAAATAAGATGGAACCATGTTTAACACTTCAAATCATGCTTTCACAACGAGTAGATACAAGATGCTCTCAGTTCTCGCGATTTTATTTGCTCACCAGATGGCGCCAATCTAGGAATAGGTCAGTTTGTCTAATCTCTGTTAAAAATTGTACGTCTGTTGATGTGACGTTACGTAATTTCCGATTAGACGAAAGACGAAAATTCGACACTATTGCCATCTAGTAAGCATCGGTAGCCCCCACACGGCCGACTCCCCGAGCGATATCAATTTAAGCAAAAATTATCGCCCGAATACTGAAAGGCTACTCAATTTTAAGTTGTACTTAAATACAGTGCCATCTCTGCCATTTGACAAACCATTCGTAGTAACAGAACTATATTAAAGCGAGATTTAAATAGAGTGACGTTTGTGTATTCGGACATCAGTAATATTAATGATCTTTGGAACAACAAAATAAAATTCGTGAAGACTTGTTTTATCAAATTTTATTTAAGCTTTTGAGCTTCCATTTACAAGAATTAAGTATTAACCATTATCAATTTGTTCATAGTCAAATAAATAAAGTACATAAGTATTACAACGGTACAAATGTTTGAACACGAGTTGTCACGAGGAACTGTCGGCTGCGACATGGCGGACCGCGCGACCCCGGACTCTACTCGCGTAATATATTTATATTACTGCTAACACTATCTAATTATAATACGGAGTTCCGCAATCCGCAATGTCGTAGTTTTGGAAACTTTTGCCTATAAAGATATTTTCACACTTTATATCAGGGGCGAAGTACGCGCTTACCAAGTAAAACGATAACTATTCGAGAACTATATTTTGTAGTTCCATTTTGCAACATTTGCGTCACATGGCGATTCCACTAGTCTAGCTCCTTATCATTCATTTATTAAATACATTTTCTTACATTTTTATTGCTCTTGCAAATTGAATTTATACGATATACAATATAAAGGAATACTAAAACTGTCTCGACCACTCTTTGTGGTCGGCACAGGAACAATAATAAATAAGCTATAACAACTACTTATATTAATTAAGGCTAACAGGCGTCCGCCGCATTGGAGGTAATTATACATACATTGTAAGTGTAACTCGTAGCTTCCACACCGACACAAGCCGAGTGTCCCCATTGTATGCAACATTAGTGAAACAATATTACTCGTGCAGTGAATGTGTTTGTGGTAGTCACCAAATGAAAGTGGACGGAAAATGAAACAATAGGCTTTGACTATGACGGGTTTTGTTGTATTTGGTACCCTCCACTGCGCGCGATGCAAGGGATTTGTAATGAAATACAAGCCGAGGACACTCCACGTGTCATTGATCCATCAGATCAAAAATATTGAGTGTAAGTCATTGCAAGTATTGAAGAGAGAAGGGTTGGCGGACACTCACGTGTTATATCGTCACACTCAACATTTTCGAGGTACAGGCTGTACACGTGCGCTACTACATGTCGACGATGGCGATCCGACCGTTACATAATTATGTAATATAAAATAAAACGCAACAACATCGTTACACAAGTAAAACAATACGAGTCGGTAAGTAACACAGGCCGCGATCATATCAGTCCGTGGCGCTTCTTGTACTCGTCCAGGTTGAGCGAGCGGCGCGGGCCGACGTCGCGGGCCCGGCGGGCCGGCGCGGGCGGCGGCGCGCGGCGCGGGCGGCGGGCGGGCGGCGGCCGCGGCGCCGGCAGGTCCAGCTCGATGCTGATGTCGAAGTCGTGCAGCGAGTACAGGCTGGCCGCGCCCCCGCCCGCGCCCGCGCCGCGCCCGCGCCCCCGCCCGCGCCCGCGCCCGCCCCCGCGCCCCCGCGCGCGCTGGCTGCGTCGGCTGCGGCCTGCTGTAACACATAGTCCCGTTAGTTAGTGGGCCGGTACAGTGCGGGCCGGTACAGTGCGGGCCGGTACAGTGCGGGCCGGTACAGTGACCGGTACAGTGCGGGCCGGTACAGTGCGGGCCGGCACAGTGCGGGCCGGTACAGTGCGGGCCGGCACAGTGCGGGCCGGTACACTGCGGGCCGGTACAGTGCGGGCCGGCACAGTGCGGGCCGGTACAGTGGCCGGTACAGTGCGGGCCGGTACAGTCCGGGCCGGTACACTGCGGGCCGGTACAGTCCGGGCCAGTACAGTGCGGGCCGGTACAGTGCGAGCCGGTACACTGCGGGCCGGTACAGTCCGGGCCAGTACAGTGCGGGCCGGTACAGTCCGGGCCAGTACAGTGCGGGCCGGTACAGTGCGAGCCGGTACACTGCGGGCCGGTACAGTGCTAGATACTCACGAGTCGCTCCCTGTCCTTGAGCTCGCGGAGCGCGCGGTCGTCGGCGTCCCTCTGCTTGATGGCGTCGGCCGCCTCCTCCTCGCTGCGCGCGTCCTGGAACAATAATCCACAATTATACCACTGCTACTTCAATGTAAATAACCAATTAAAAACATTTGATTTTTCAAATTACAGACATTGTTGATTTCTACCGACTGGTTTATTTACTTTAAACAAATAGCATGTCTGATTATGACTATAGTCCTTTAGCGATCTCTTACTTTTTGTGAACAACATTTGGTATTTTAATTGAAGTTTCACTAGAGATATGGCGCCGACTAAAAATATCGAATGAAATATCTTACCGATAAAATCTACATACAAAAATAAATCGGTTAGGGGCACAAAGTAAATCTTATTTACAATTTTTTTAAATTAACGTACTTTACTTGACGCTGTCACATATTGCCATCGTAAGCCCATGGACAAATGACTCTACATACCTGTGCCTTGCTAGCCCCCGACTTGAAGTTCATGACAGGTTTAGTGCTCCGACGAGTGAAGGGATCGTCTGCCTTCTTGCCCTTGTTAGCCTTCACTTCCTCCATGATGGCCTTCTCTGCGGTCTCTACATTGAGCTTCCGGTTCCTATTGTTGATGTAAGAGATGCTCTGTATGGAGGACGTCCTAGTCTTGTCTAGTTGACTGGCTCGTTCCTCCAGTTCCTGTATCTTAGCATTCAGTTCCATCACGGTCTCGTCGTCCCCTCTGTAACATGTCGCTCGAGTTATATCACCACACATAATAATAATATCTGTCATCTATCACTCCCTAACTGAGTATTTGGAGAAGAGGTCAGTCTTAAAGCTTAGACATATGAGAGGTACGTATAAGAGGTAATAATGGTCTGTAAGTAAAATAGCACGCGATATAAAATGAATGTGTTACGTCAGACAGAAAAAACTGAATAACAAATGTTTTAATGATAAACAGGTGTGTAGTAAATACAAGTTGCAAGGAGTCTGTATATACAGTACCTGAGCTGGGCGACGTCTCGTTCCTTCATGAGCTGTGTTTTCTTCATGGCGTAGTTGGTGGGATGCGACCTAAACCGATCCTTCTCCGCTACTATCTTCTCAATGTCCTCCTCCTGCCGATACAATCAATATTCCCACATTATACAAGCTTATATTGGTTCGACTACAAATTGCCTAGACCTAACGTAGAAGGAAGGACACCAAGAGGCCGACAGTCCCATACGGTGGTCTAACTAAATATCCAAAGAGATGTCTCTGAATGTTACAATGCATCAAGCAATGAGACGCAATCAATGAGACATCTAGTTGACAACATTACAAGCAGTCACGTTCCTCAGCAGTGAGAGAAACACGAGTCGTTTTGAGATATGAAAGTTTTGTGTGACGTTTGTTATTTGAATTGAAGTTTCACTAGAGATATGGTGGTAATAAAATCATGTGAAAAATATTTATTGAATTATCTATAGTCAGAATTTTAATTAGATTCCAGATTTGACAATAGCTACTGTCATTTTGTGAAATAATGATACCACATATAATAGTGTAGTGATGCACACAAAAATCGATAAACAATCGGTGTGTGTGTTTTATAATAAATGTTACAGAAAGTGACAGGATAGCGAAAGCGATGACGGCGACAATTTATAAAATAACTTATTACCATGATACATCTATCTGTTTTATTTGTCATGTTCCTTCATGATTACATTTTTTTATTTATTTCACACACAATTATAAAAGAAGTCTCAGATCGTTAATTAATCGCCAAAACTAAATTATCGGTTCAGAAATATTGAATTTCCTGACATACTTAGTTTACAAGAGTAAAATTATAAACGAGAAGAATCGATCCAGAAATATTGCATTTCCATATCGAATAATTTCGCAACGTCACTATTTAGTACTTGTCATAACGTTGCAACACTGAAATTGTCAAATCTGGAATCGAATTAAAATTCCGAGTATAGTCATTTCGGTGACTATTAACCATCTCGCTCATAATGCCGAGGTCCATCTTGCCCATAATTTCGTATGCACTACTATATTAAACATAACATTTTACAATTAATCGTAAATTATGGATCGATTTTTACGAAATTATTGAGTCAGCCTCTAACCATGGATTGATCCAAATCACGCACATCAACCTCTGTCGTACAATTTTAATAGTTGTATTTGTTACGGTAAAATACAAAGCGAATTTATATTTTGCAATTAATATTTTATCATTTATTCTATCCATTTATCTATTCGAGTTAATTATTGTTAATACTTATTTTATGTTTTCTACAAAATAAAACCAGCGCAAAATGTATGTGACACCATCACATAATGTTATCTCAAACCCATGGGATCCCAAAAGATGAACCGAATTGTGTATAATAAATTACGTAAATATGTATGTGTAGTTTGTATGAGAAATGTTCCTGACCTTGAACTCGTACATGAGCGCTTCCTTGACTTCTTGTATCTTGTTCCGCACGAAGTCCATGGTGGGAGGCTTCTTGTTGGCGTCCTTGATGGCTTTGTTCCACTTCTGGAACTCGCTCTCCGTGAACTCCTGGTTACTGACGAACTCCAGGCGGAACACTCGGTCCTGGGTTCCGTGCCGGAGCTTGAGGCCCTTGTTGGTGCGAGTGTTGCCGAGGTTATATACCTTCGCAGTCTCATACACGTCTATTATCTCTGCCACCTGTAATATTGCACTCCATTCGTTAGTAACATCTCCTCTACATCAAGACACAGTACACCCCTGAAGACCGGCGCGACCCAGGGAAGTAATCAGAAGATGTATTATTAAAGGACAAAACGAATAGTTTCTACTTCCAAGAAACTTCCAAATAGGCTGCAAGCCGAAAAGGTGAATAGACTGTGTGCTGAATGTTGAAGCAATGAATGTACTAATGTATACTGACCCTGTAGACGGGGTTCCCGTTATTGTTCCCGATGCCGATGCGGACGAAGCATCCTGTCACTACCCGCGCGAAGAATGGAAGGTGGACCAGACGCTCCAGCTTGAATCTGTAGACAAATGTGGTTTATAGTATAAACTATGTTCGGGATACTTGGACCGTAGTAGTCATCACGTCATGTCGTACATGTATAATATAGTACCTGCTGAGTCGGAGTTTGTTGATTTGTTCCTTAGTATCGGCGTACTTGACCTCGACCAGTTCCCGCTCTCGCTTGGAGTCATCCTCCTCGCCGCCCGACGACATCGAACTGGACGAACTGCGCCGACCTGATGATCACATTACTACATTGGTCATATCTGATACAATACTAAACTTTTAAAGTACATTATTGTAACAAGTCCTATTTTTATTCTTAAAAAAACTTTCTTTCAAGTAGACGTGAGTAGTTAATTTACCTTGAGATTTGTTATCGTCAGAGTCGGACCCGGAGTCGTCGGAGTATATGTCGGACGCCTTCAACTTGACGCTCTGCTTGCTGGAGCCGCCGATGATCTCCGCGTCCGCGTCCTGTACAAACACGATATATTGCGGCGGACTAGTCGGACTGGTCGCCGAGGTACATGGCGGGCAGCGAGCACTACTGACGTCGGTGTCGTCCTTGTCGTTGTGAGAGAGTTCCTTGTTCCTCCTCTGCCTGGAGAGCTCGACGCGCGTGGCCTTGGCGTCCCGCTGGGCGCGGAGGGCGGCCATGGCGTTCTGTCGCTTGTCGTCGACGTTCCGCTTGCGCTCCGTCTTGCCGAACTGGGGGGAGCCGGCGCGCTCCGACCGCTCTGGGGACCACATGGCATTACTCGCATCTCATAAATATACGTCGGGACTACTCCATCGGAGTGATACCACGGTAGAATAATGTAGTAGTAGGTAGTATTGAGTTACCAGCATCCTGTTTGTCGTCGAGTATCTCCCCGGGACTGGGCGGCGGCAGCTCCTTGTCCTGCTGGGGCTCGGGCGGCGCCGGGGCCTCCGTCTCTATTTCTGTATAATCACATACATGTATACAGTACTGTCGCCACTCTCGTATAACAACAATGTAATACGTGTTTGAGTTTATAAAAGGGAGAAGCATTGAACAGGGAAACGTATTAAAAAAATTTTCAGAAACATGTGTAAAGAAAACTAAGAAGCACAAGGTATTGTTATGTCCTTAAAAATAAAGGTAATGCTCTTCAGCCTTGCAGATAGTACTGTCATTGTTACTAGGAGTCTCCTTAAAGGATCGAATCCGTCAAACAATTGAAGTTATCGACCCGTGTTACACAGTGTATGGCTGACCTGGCGGCGGCGGCGGCAGGTCGCGGCGGCGGCGGCGCAGGTCGCGCGCGGCACGGCGGCGGCGGCGCGCGTCGCGGCGGCGCGCCAGCTCGCTCGCTGACAACGCGCCCGCCGCCGAGCGACGCGCCAGACGCAACTTGCGCTCTATCTCCCACCTGCACACAGACGGCTCGATAATACCGATGGCAACAGACAACTTCGGCATGAAATTAAATCAAAGCATTTATTTCAATTTATTCATACAAATAATTTAGAAACGATATCGTGGGACATCATTTCTAGGAGTTAACTCTTTTAACCCAAATTGCTTATATCTAAGTAGGTAGTTATGTCCTTATAGTTTTCATTACAAAATAAACAAATACACGTGTAATTTTTTTGTGTAACTAAGAGACTAAATACATTTTTCTAGCAAACCCGGTCATCATCCCTCTCTTTGTATGACTCTGAACTGAATACTGTGCAGTAGAGTAAAAACAAAATATTAAATTGTTTTTTCATTCTTATGATGATCGTTTCAACACTCTTTTATTAAGTCCACCTACACTGAACTATGCAATGATGCAACTATGTAATCAAATCTCTATGCAAGATGTACTTATCTGATTGTTGTATTATTGTCAAACTTGGCAACTATATTATGTACATTAGTACCATACAATAGTATAAAATCTCGCTATAAATATTTAATTTTATTTACAAATAGTGTTTTTAGCTTTTTAAACAAATATAATAATTATTTCAGTTCTGTTTGTTTCAATTTTATATTAGATATGTAATTCTAATAGAGTATTATCCTTGCATATGAGTTCAGCTTCTGTTTGCGTGGTGGCAAATTAAATCGGCTGACTGTACTTCAAACATATTGGGATAAATCATTCCGATGCAATAAAATAAAAATTTGTAAATCACTTCCATTGATTGACTACTTATGATGACAAACTGATTTGTAGCAAAATGATAAATAAGTATGCAATTTTGACTTTCGTTGGTAGTGGTGAAGGTTACGCACGTGCTTTTATTGGTACTACGATTGTTGTCAATTTTAGTGATCTTTTTCATAGTGAACTAAATTGAAATCTTTTAATTTTGTGCTGTGTAATTGTGTGTGTAAGTTTTTTTAAGGTGTAGTAGTCTTAAGTTTTGTTTCCCCTTCCCACCTTTTTTACTCCTATACCTAACAATGGATGAAGAGAAGCCTCCTGACCCTCCCGACAAATCTCCAGAGTACAATCCCATTTTATGCGTCACGCTCCCCCATGACAACCAGGATCTTGAATCAATGGATTCCGAAAACAATGCTAACAGGAAACGACCTGCTGGTTCTCCCATTCTATCCCGTATCAATCCTCCGAAGCTAGCGAAGAGTATTAATGGTAGGCAGTGCTATACGGCTAGAGACAACCCTCCCTATATTGTCCATGTTTCTCTTAAAGACTCCCAGACGAGTGGCACTACTCTCCACCCAATCAAATTCGGGATGTTCTTGACAAAGAATAACATCAACAATATTAAAATTGGAGGAGTTAAGCGACTCGGTAGAAACAGAGTGTCGGTTGAGTTTGTGTCTCACCAGGATGCGAATAGCTTCCTTATTAACTGCGTGGTAGCACAAAATTATATTACCTCAATCCCTCAGTTCAACATAACTAGAATGGGCATTGTGAGGGATGTTCCCATTGAATGGTCAGAGGAGGAAATTATTAGGAACATTAAGGTTCCCGCTGGGTGTGGGATTGCAATTAAAGCAAGACGGATGAACCGTAGAGTTTCATCAGACAATGGTACGGAATGGAAGCCTACCCAAACTGTGGTTCTCACTTTCGATGGGCAAATTTTACCAAAGAAAGTTTTTTGTTTTTATTCTGCTCTCCCTGTAGAATTGTATACATACCCTACAATACAGTGTTACAACTGTTGTCGCTTTGGGCACACCCGCACGTTGTGCCGCTCCAAACCGCGTTGCTTCAGATGTGGTCAGGATCATCCTGGCGATGGCTGCCTAGTGACGGAAGAAGTTGCACATTGCATAAATTGCAATGGCAATCATTTTGCCAATAGCAGCTCCTGTCCTGAGTTAGGACGCCAGAAAAGTATTAGGGCCTTAATGGCTGAAAAAGCGATTTCCTATGCGGAAGCAAGCCATGTGTTTCCTGCGGTCAAAAAATCTTATGCCGAGGTTTCTAAATCCAAGTCTGACAACTACATTCAATCAACACCAAACAAAAATCATCCCACAAAGACAGTCTTACAAAAAAACAGTTTTTGTCAAACCCAAATCCCATGCTCCTCTTTCTCCCGGCTATGATAAGAAGGCCCATCAGGCCCTTATCCATGATTACTCTTTTTCTCCATCCCAGAATGGTTGCGCTTTCCCTGTGGAATCCGGAACCAACACTCGTAGCTCTAACATTTTAGATGTAATTTCCAGCATGCTCATGGCAGTGTTATCTAACCCTAATCAAAATGTACCTGACCACGTCGCCCATAGATTAGCTACTATCCTAGACTACATATATAAAATTCCACCCACTTACAATTCTTCAGTGGAACGTGAGGAGTACTCTTCCCAGGAAGAGTGACCTGATACATTTAGTTAATAAATTCAAACCATCGATTTGTGGACTTGCTGAGACATGGCTCCGACCGAATATCAATTTCGGGATCCCGTGCTTCAGCATTGTCAGACAGGACAGATCTGATGGTTATGGAGGTTGTGCTTTGTTAGTTAACAACAAAGTACCCTTCACCCAGATTCCTTTACCCTTCGTCGGCGATGACATAAATGTTGTCGCTGTTAAGGCTGAGGATATAAATTTTTTTATGTTTTATATTGCGCACCCTCTTGTTACTCATTTGGCTTTAATTAAAAATTTATTAATGTCAGTAAGTGGTCCATTATTCGTAATGGGTGACTTCAACTGTCATCATTATAGATGGGGTTCGGATTTATGCGACAACATGGGCAGCAAGTTCGTTGAAATGATGGATGAGCTCAACCTATGTAATATTAATGACGGCAGCCCGACCCGTAGATCTGCATTTGGACAAAGAAGCAGTTGTGTGGACTTAACCTTCTGCTCATCTAATATGGCAAGCATGCTGAACTGGAGCTGTTTGAATATGACTTATGGTAGCGATCACTATCCCATCATAATCAAAAATCCTTCCAAATCCACTCCTGATAAATCCCTCCCCCCTCTATTAAAATATCGATTAGAAAAAGCAGATTGGGACTTGTATTCAAAATTATTAGACTTCCGCATTTCTTCTCTCCCACCCATTGATAACCAGAATGCTTTGGAGTGTTTTTCAAAGTTTTCTGAGTTGATAGCTACCACAGCTGAAGATTGCTTCCCAGTGAAAAGCACACCAAAAGGCAAAATCCCTTCCCTCCTTGGTGGGATAGTGAATGTACTGCCATGATAAGAGCCAGGAATGAGGCTGAAAAGGCATATAACCACGACATGAGCCTGGAAAATCTCCTTAATTTCAAGCAGATATTGGCTAGGTCAAGAAAACTGTTTAAAAAGAAGAAGAGACAGGGGTGGCAGAGATTCTGTGGTTCCCTAGCCCGTCCACGCCGGTGGCAGCAGTGTGGCGGAGAGTGAAGAGCTTCAGAAATCTTCGAAGCCTCCTTCAATTTCCATTTTGCCTGAAGGTCTGAGCCACAATTTCTTCACCAACATTGCTCCACTGTATGTCCCTGGCGAGGATGAATGTTGTCCGGGTCAACATGAGGATTCACGAGACCCACTCGATAAAAATTTCACCATCGATGAGCTCCAAATGGTCCTTAATCATGTAAAGGATTCCGCACCAGGCATTGATGGGTTTCCTTACTCCTTCTTGGTTAAAGCAGGAGCCAAAACCAAGCAGTACTACCTTGACTTAGTCAATTTCTGTTTTACTTTCGGCTATATTCCTCCTATCTGGAAGGTTCAGGTTATCATGCCGCTGTTAAAAGCTGGCAAGGATCCTGGTGATCATTCGTCTTACAGACCTATTGCCCTATCGTCCATACTTATCAAAATCCTTGAACACCTAATAAAGACCCGGTTGGAATGGTCGATGGAAAGCCGGGGGCTGTTCCCGGCGGCTCAGTTCGGCTTCAGGAAAGGTCTGGGTACGGCTGATAGTGTGGGTACCCTCACGTCAGCCATCCGACTGGCCCTTAGCAGGAATGAGTCGTTGGTGGCGGTCTTTCTGGACGTCTCGTCGGCCTATGACTCTGTCCTCCTACCCCTTCTCAGGCAGAAATTGCAGGAGCTGAGAATCCCGAGTAGGATTTGCCAAATTATAGGCTGCATCCTTTCCAACCGTACCCTCCAACTGAGAACTCCTGAGGATGACCCTACACAGAGAACCGCCTGGAGGGGTTTACCTCAGGGGTCAGTCCTTAGTCCCATCCTATATAACATCTATACCAACGACCTCCCTTCTTGTCTAAATTATGATTGCAAAGTCCTCCAGTATGCTGACGATATCGCATTAATGGTCACTAGCTGCTCTATAACAGACGCTACCGCCTCCATGAATGTCTCTTTGACCTCATTATACCAATGGCTTCTTAATCATTGGTTATCTTTAAGCGCCCCAAAAAGCTCAGCTGTCATCTTTTCACGCAGACGGCGCCTTCCGGACACTCTTATAGAGATAGACGGCCAACCTATTCCAGTTGGGAGGAAGGCTAGGTTCCTGGGCGTTATCCTCGATTCTAGGATGTCGGGGGTTGATCATGTGGAAACAGTAGTTAGAAGGTGCGAACGGTCAGTATGTGTACTCAGAGCATTAGCTGGGGTATGGTGGGGTGCTCACCCCTACACATTAAAGCTCATTATATAATGCGTTGGTCAGAAGTGTGATAGACTATTGCTGCTTCCTTATGGCACCTTGCAATAAGGAAGCACTTAAAAAGCTAGATTCCATTCAGGCCAAATGCCTAAGAATAATTATTGGAGCTATGAAGTCATCCCCCATAAACGCTCTCCAGGTTGAATGTGCAGAACCCCCCTTTGACCTTCGAAGACAATACCTGGCAGACCGTTTCGTTTCTAAAGTCCTTACCCGCTCTTCTCATCCCCTCCTTCCTATCCTTGAGCAAATCCACAGTTCTTATGACTCCTCTCCATTTAATAATAAACCTGTCCCACCTGTGATTGCTAGGTATAGGGAGCTTAAAAACCTCTCTGCACCTATCAGTCAATTCCCTATTCTCCCGGTTTTTTCTTCCGCATACGAGGTCATTCACTTTAGGCCAAAGCTAGTTCTGGGGTTGGGCATTTCAAAGACATCAGTGGACGCTAAAGGTGATTTTGAACGCGCGCTGAGCAATTACTGGAACGGCTGGAATGTGTTTTACACGGACGCATCCAAATTGACCCGAAACGGATGCACAGGAGTGGCAACATATTAACTCAAGAATTGCTCTGCTCTCCAAGTGTCCCCTGAAGCCTCTGTCTTCACTGGGGAATGTGTCGGCATTCTGGAGTCCATTAAATTTATTGAATCGCACAACCTCAGAAACTCAGTTATTTTCTCAGACTCTCTAAGTAGCTTACAAGCGCTCGGTCAAGACCAGCTTTATTCCCGGACTCATAGTAGTCTGATAATTCAGATAAAATCTTTACTTTTCTCCTGCCAAAACGACGGACTAAATATCGAGATCGCCTGGATCCCTGGCCACTCTGGTATATGCGGTAACGAGTGTGCTGACAGATTGGCAAAGTTTGCGGCCGTGAATAATGTTGAACGTCACCACTACATTGTGTATGGGTATGACATACGCGCGGATACAAAACTCAAGCTTTTCGACTCGTGGGCTGCAGTGTGGGTGGACTCCTCCAAGCGTAAAGGAGCTTACTTTGCAAGTATCCAGCCCGACATCCGGCGGAAACCTTGGTTTTCCAAGTATAAGAAGCTTCCCAGACAAACTATTTCGTCCTTGTGCAGACTCAGACTCGGCCACTGTACTAGTCCGGTATTCCTTGCCAAGATCCGTGTACGTGACAGCTCGCTGTGCGAATGCGGTCTCGATGAGGGAACCCTAGACCACATATTTTTCTCTTGCCCTCTAAATTCCCAATCCTTCGATTTATATGGAAACCTTCCCAAAATCCAAATCCCGCTTCCAATCAACTTCCACTCCCTCCTAATAAATTTTTCTCCCAAATTAATTAAGTGCTTGTCCAAATTTATTAAAGAAAATTGTATTAAAATATAACGGTGTGTATTCATGTAAATATTGTGTGTTATGATTGTTTCTATTTAATTATTTATCTGGTGTTAGGTAATAATATTATAATTTTAGGTCTATTGACGGTATATGTTTACTAACCCAATTGTTTTTGTCTCTTCCAGTTACTAACAACTACCAGAAAGTTAAAGTTCGACGGTGCATTAACTGCCGTCACCACTCGACACTGGCAGTATAGTCGACAACATCGTATTGGAGACTCAGTTGCCAAAGAAAAAGAAAAAAAAAAAAAAAAAAAAGGATGCAATTTGAGTGTACATTATTATGACGTAATTAAATCACGAATTTTGTAGAAATTGAATCGTATGTGTGTGACTGACCTGGTTTTCATGAGATCTCTCCTCTCGATTCGCTTGAAGATCTCCTGCTCCCTCTCCTTCTCAGACATGGCGGCGAGGCGAGCTCTGTCCTCCTCGTCGCCCATGAGGTTCTCGTCATATCTACGAAGCGTACCACGAGTTATAGTTTATATACATTGAGTGAAGCAACAAGTGTCCCGTGTGTAGGTAGTAGGACAGGATAGTGCACTCACCCGTCATCAAATTCTTCTTCTGAATCAATGGAGTCATTATCTGAGGAGTGTGACGACACTTCACCTGAAACATAGAGATCTTACATCAGCTCTGCACTCGTTAGAGTACGCAATTTTAGCTTAACCTAAAGTTTGTGGGGTTTGTACTCGATGACTAGTTGATCATTGTCTCGTTTTTATTGATCTGTCGCCAGTTTGTACTTGTTTATTTGAACAAAAACAAAATTTGAATGATTTTAGAAAGTTCTTTCAGTCAGCCAGTTTCTAAAGTCAGTTCAATAAGCCAGTGGGAATACGCGTTTGAGCTAATCTCCAGAACTTTGGATTGAATTGAATCATTCTTATTGTGTGTGATAGTCCATGCAACAAGCTATTAAAAATCAAGCCACGGTCAATAGGAGCTGAGACCGGGTTGAATCATGCGGAATAGCTAGGGTACTAGTAAAGTATGAGTACTGACCTTCTTCGGGCTCACTGTATGTCTCTTTTTTCTTAGTAGACTCTGCGCTGTCTGTGCTCCTCCTGTTCTCTGTCTTCTTAGGTTCCACTTTCTTTTGGCTGTCGTCCGAGTGCTCTGAGGATGTCTTCCTTGTACTGCGAGGTGCTTCTTTCTTTTTCGATGTATCACTTCTGGCATCACTCTCCGAGTCTGACCCCGATGAGGATGAGGATTTTGCTAAAAAACGTGAATCATTAAGTTTACTGTGTATGTCTGCCAATGAGTAAGCTGTGGAAGCTATCTCTCGACAGTTGCTGCAAGGCATACTGAATACCATCTAATGACCATAAAATAAATTTGAAGATTTATTCATTTAAAGAGAACAATAGGTAGTCTTCATTAGTTTCCATGAACCACCATGGGACAAAGGCAAAGATAGAATTAAATTGTATCCAGTAGGCAATTTATATAACTGAGGTCTGGGTAAAATGGTCTCAACTGTCCATTCTAGTAGTATGGACCAGTATAACATGACACTTACAATTTGACTTCTTGTTGTCATCGTCATCCCAGTCAGATTCAGAGTCTGACCCTGAACCAGATTTCTTAGATTTGGACTGTGGAGGGGAGTCTTCTGGTTTCTTCTTTTTCTTTGCTAAGTTCAGGAATTGCTATAAGTCAAACACATATTACATAAGTAACCGTTGCATTTTAATTTACTTTATGTACTTTATGTCAGTACATAATTACTAATATAAATTGAAGAATATTTTTATTACATATTGGTCACACACAGATTAAAGAAAAAAAAAATTGCATAATCAACCACAGGATATAGAATGTACTCTATAGTCTATGAACATATATGGCAGTGACTTTCCTACCAACTTTTGTGACTTGTTGGTTCCAGTTGAACTAATTGTTCAGGTATAAAACGGAAGCCATTCACATACAGACAAACGGAATAACTATAATGTTACCTGTATTTATTGGACAAACATTTAAATGACTTTACCATTTACTTAATACCACTTTCATACACACATATAATAAAATAATAATCATTTATAGAGAGAAATGTCTTTAAAGTGAATATTTTAAAATGTGTGACTTTGTCGAAGAATAGCTCAATATAATGAAGGCTTGTAACATTGTGACCAAAAGATATCACAACTATATAGAATAGACTACCTAGAGCTTTTAGTAAATTAAAAGACTTTTGTAAAGACAGTTTGTTTTCTATTAGTGATTCCAAGACATTTTGTGTTTGTCAATTTATTCAAACAATATGTAAAAGTATTGTAGTGCTACATGTTTGTACAGAACCTTTATAATAGCACTAGTTTTAATAAATTCAAATTCCTGAACTAAAAAAATACACTATATTCAATAAGTAACCTCAAATTAGTAGCCGAGGGTCATAAAATACCATGCAATAATAATAGTTTTACTTGTGTTTTGCATGTATTTTATTTTTTAAATACTTATCTAAGTAATGTTATAGTAAATGATTAAATTTTGATATTTCTATTTTATTTTAAAGTTAGGGTTCTGATGACTGGTATGTAGGTCATGATCATGATAAAAACATAAATTTGGCTGCAATAAAATACACTGAAAACAATAGTCACCAAATTGAATATTTGGTCAGATATTTAGATCTGGTTGAAAAAAGAAAGTCTAGGCTCAAAATTATATAATCCATGAACATTTGTTGGCTGAATGACTTAGTTAAAATACCATAACAAGTAACAAACTTGAAATATTTGCACCAAACTATGTTAAGTGTTTTAAATTGCCTTAGATTCTGCTATCCTAAAACATTTGCAGATAACTGTAGAAATTTCATAGGCGGGAACATTAGCTTTCATTCATTTTTATTTATGACTCACGCAACAGAAGCCATTTAATAAAGCTTTAACGTAACGTAAACAACATCCGTTTTCTTCGGAAGAGATAAGGACTAATTTTCAAGTTTATTGCTCGCTGAAACAAGTTACATGCGTTGGTTTTTCACATAATGCGCAAAAGATGGATTTAGAACGAAGGAACATTGATCTTGGCCTATTTACGCAGTCAAATTAATGAAGAATGCCGTCAAATCGTTACGTACGGACGTGAACTTATAACCTAAGGTTTTTAAAGAAAAGTAACTTACTGAGTCCAAATCTGAGCACTCACTACTGGAGTCTGAATCTATTAAAGGTTTGTTTTTCCTTTTTGCCATTTTTCACTAAGTTATAACACAAACACGATAAATAAAATGCGTCTACTCGCTGTTATTTCCCTGAGTCGTCAATCAACGACCACAGATGCTCACAGACTAAATAAAACCAAACCAAAAGCAACGCTGTGCAAAGTAGACTTCAAAAGCATAGAGCTAATCTTTTTTTCCTTGTAACTTTTGACAGGATACACGTAACAAAAAAAGTTAAAGTTAAACGTACAAAAAATGTGAATGTTCTAGAAAAAAGTTGACTAAAATTTGTAAATTATTAGGCTGGTTTATAATATATAAAAACATCGATTTATTAATATTTTTATACAATGATTGAAAATTATAGCAAATCTACTGTGTAGTAGATATTATCTACATGTCTATGTATCTATTGTCTACTTTTGAAACCGGACTAGCCACATCACTATTGGTAATGGTTATTGAGTGACTTTTCCGCATTCTGCGAAAAGAAGTTTCTGCGTATTATTTATTGTTTATTTGTTTTAATTTACTGACATTATTCGAGATACTACTCTTTTTTATTGGTTATTATTGTGTAATCTTACACAAATTGTGTTTTGTACTACTTTAAAGTAGAGGGAAAGTGCCAAACAGACAGAAAATAGGTTGTAACGGGGTCTCCCGTTATCTAAACAAATACCTCAAAAACTTATTATGCCTCATGATTTAAAGGAGTTGGGTGGAAGGAAACCAGTAGTAATGGTAAGTAATACAAAATATATCTATCAATATTGGCATATTTTAGTAAAACATAGTTGAAATCAATTTATATAGTAATGGTTGGTCCAAATTGTTGATGGTTTCTGTACGAGTCACATATCGTACAGGGCACGTCCACATTCACATCAGCACTTTTATTCAAATCACTGTATAAAACCAGTACACGCTCTGCACACATCAATATAGATAGCATTAGTTATTTGGTAGTACGTATTAAAAGGATATTCTTTGATTATCCGTTTCTTCCTTGTGAGTTTAGTATCGATTAATTAATAGAGCCTTTTATTCTAAATTAACAATTATAGAAGCATTACAAAAAAAAGTATTATAATCACAAAATGTCTCTTAATTCAGTGTTCTTCTTGGGATAGCCCTCTTCTAACCATTTCCACTGAGTTCGATCTCTTGCCACCTTTCTGTAGTGATTGACCATGGCCAGCTGTCAATTTTAAGTCACCCTTCAATCTCATTTGTTGGCATCTTCTGGTGCGTTTGCGGTCTCTAGGGTATAATGGGATATGGAAATGGGTATATCTGATATAATGGAACTCCATCTGTTATAATGCGTATCTCTGACGTTTGTCTCTCGTTTGTGTAGTTTTCTGGTGTCTTGACACCATCGGAAGCAAGGGTACAAATTATTGTATACAAAGGTACAACTTTTTGTACCCTTGGTTTGCTGTTTGATTGTATGTTTATTAAAATTTTGATGTAATTTAAGGGTATTCCTTGTTGCTCTAGGAGATGGCTAGGCTTTCCCAGATGGCTTCGTGGCTAATGGAATCGACCGCTTTGTAGTCAATAAATACCATACTAATGTTTTTGTTATACTAATTGTGTTTTTAATCCTCTCATTTTTGTATAAAGCTGGCTTGTTCATGCTGTTTGTTCTCTTCAAGCTTTATGCTTATTCTGCTAGTATACATTAGGAATCACTAATTTTTTTGTTCATCTAGCAACAATAAATATTTGTATTCATTGAATATATTGAAAGTACCTAATTTTAAATCAAAACTATTGGAAGTCAAGTTATCAATACCACCTAATACTACAAGCCTACTACTACCTAGTACTACATCGGATGTTATATAATTTATGTATATTTTAATTACATGAAAATAGTAATAGTAATTAGTTACTTAGTTTTGATATTGAAAAATATAAATGTCTTGACCAGAGCCTGAGAAGAGAATTTTTTTTTAAGGGGTGAATTTCATCCCATGTCTTCTTCCGCCTAGGTGAGGTGGGAGGGAGTGTCAGACTCTTACTGACTAAAAACCACCCGGTTCCTATTCGTGCACTTTGAGCCGAAGCCCCGGTAACCCGTTAGGTTCTCTGTGGCTCCGTATCGGCATAGAAGAGAATAGATTGTTTATCTTTGAATGGAAGAGTAACTAATCCTTACAAACTTGATTTGGTAGGAGCAGGACAACATCAACAAAATACAATTGTAAAAAAGAAATGTCACACAAATAATTTGTTCTCAAGACCTTTTGATTACTTAGTGTTATGTCATCCTTTTTGTATAATAACTGAAGTCATGAAATCACTTCTTTATCTATATAATTTATAATAATGCTGACAGTACTTTAATAGATATAGTTAAGTAACTATGATTTTTTCAATATTGATATTTTATCACTTAGGTACTAGAATTGTATAGTTGTGTATTGTAGTGATTTGTAAATACTACTTTCAAATAGGTACTACAAAAACACCAAAACCTGTTTAACTGGTGGAATGGGGCAAAACTTGCGGAACATCATTTTACTTGTACATTGACATAAATAAATTAATCAATTAAGGCTCCTACACAGTGCCGGCGGCAGGGCCGCCGGGTAAGCCACCGGCCAAGCCGCCGTGCACCCGGCGGCATACAAAGGAGCCGCCGGCAAGTAAAACATTTTCACTTCACTAGCGTTCTATGTGACTGTCACAACCGGAATGATGATTGACGGCTTTGTGCGGCTTGTGCCTTGTATTGCCGGCGGCATAGCCGCTCGGCATGAACCCGGCGGCATTGCCGCCGGCATGTGCGTGCCTTTAGATAGATTGGCTTACATACATGTCCATGTGGGGATAGCACTCAGCTAATATATGTGCATGATGTACACAATTTTTGCCTTTTACTTTAAAAAGCAACGAGGTTCTATGTTCGAATGATTGTTATCGAACATCCTTCTTGAATCAGTTCGTAATAAGAGGAAGCCGTAATATTTAATAATTTAATTAATTAGTTTTTGTTTTCTTCTTTCACAATTACCTTCATACTAAAAATACTTCTAATTTGCCACATTTTCATGTAATTTGATTGAGGTGCGGGTGCACCCACAGCGTCTACTCCGGTAGTAATTCTAATTTCTCACTTCATCACAAACCACATCTTATTCTACCTACTACTTACCTACTAACTGCTGCGCTACAGGCGTTATATTTTGTCGCACCGGAATTGAACTAGCCTAACGACCTGCATGCAATCACTTACATCACTAATCATGTAGGTAGTACAATGCAAAGATGGCTATTGATGTTACTGCAACTATGTAAGGGTCACGGCTAGATACCGCTCAAATATCCGCCTGCAGGGCTTCGTATTGGCGTGCTAGGCGCCTAGACATTTGCGCCCTTAACGCCTTCTACGAACAGGATCGGCCCTCGCAATCCCGCTAAGCAGCCTTCTTTTTGAATATTAGTCTAAAGATGCCACTTCCTTCCAAAGCAATTTTCTATTACTAGACAGCATAATTTGACTGATGAAATTCAAAATTCAACTATCAGTGCTCTAACGTGTACTCCGTCTGTTATGTTTACTTACACGTGTGACGTGACACATGAACTGACAACTCGTGTGTTATCCTTGTTGCACGAATCAATTAGGTCCGCGCAATCTGAATCACTGAATCACCCGCACCTTGCTAGCTAGCTGCTATATCTGCGGGGACGTCACACAAACAAGATAAATTCAAATAACATAATTCACTCGTCTATATTTTGAAGTCACGATGATTTGCAGTTTCTCTTCCACGATACTTCGACATCGTGTTTTTCGCTCACTTTGTAATTGTTGCTTGTGTCGAGCAGTACCTCTAGTCCTACTTATGTACCGATTTGCAAAAAGTAAAAGTTTAGTAATTATTTCAAATATTGTAGCTAGGCGTGGTTGTATAGAGAAATATAGGAGAATATGGACGTACACTGGGATGACTTGGAGGTGAGCGTTTAATTATTAAATTAGGTATGTTGTTATATTGTTAGCAATATGTAATGTTGTTGTATTGAGTGGTCCCTGTCACTATGTAGTGCCTGGGTCGTAGCTCACTGGTGTAAGGTCTCCCTACATGACCTTTATCCCACTACTTGTCTTTGATCATTGAATTTCTGTCAGCTGAGATTTTAGGTCAAGGCGTAGTTGACGCGAGCGATTTTTGGTAAATGGGTATAAAATTATTTTTTGGAATTAATACTAAACATCTTAGAATGTCTGATGCCATAACTGGGTATCACAGACAATTTTCATTGATTAACATTTTCTTGAATGGGATTCAATGTCGAAGGTTGCTGGATTGGGAATATTGAAACATTCAGTTCCATAATAGTAAATGTATGTTTACATTGGTTGCAGGCTCCCTTGTCGCCGACCCCGTGCGCGGAGATCAGTGACGACGAGCTGGTCTCCATCTCCGTGCGCGACCTGAACCGACAGCTCAAGATGAGAGGACTCACCCGGGACCAGATAGTCAGGTACACTATTCTTACTCACGGTATAGGTGCTACAATGCCAGGTGCACAGGTTTGTGCGATATCGTAAATCTCTTCGTGTCATATTGTCATTTGACTGCACGGTTGGTGCGGTGGCTGGGCAACTGGCTGCCGCGCAACGTGTTGCGGGTTCCATTCCCGCACTGAACTACTGTTTACAAACAAACAAATTCGTATACAATATATATGTGTATACGGATTTGTATGTTTGTAAACGCACCCACGACACAGGAGAAAATCCAAGCGTTGCGTTTTTTAAAAACAATCCACTTTATCTAAATTAATTCTGGTTCGTATTATTACTTGTATTAATGAGTAATCACCCGTTATAATAAAACATTTGATGTAATTGCAGAATGAAGCAGCGTCGTAGAACGTTGAAGAACCGCGGGTACGCCGCGTCGTGCCGCATCAAACGAATCGAGCAGAAGGACGAGCTCGAGACTGAGAAGAGCCAGGTTCGTTCAGACTTACTTCATAATTACATAACATTACGTCTTTTGTTCACACTGGCACTTAATGCCACTGTACAATGTAACACCCACTTTCCACTATTTATGTTATGAGTCCCATGTAATAGTAGGTGGGTCTATTGCTATATACCGGGCACAATTTCAGACTTCGTTCTACTACTGAGATGTTTTAAAAAACCCCATAATGCTTTGCCTGGCCCGGGAATCGAACCTGGGATCCCTTGCCCCATAATATAGCTGAAATTATAGTGTAGTTTATTTAGACAATACTCCTTTTTAAATCAAGTGTTACAAGTGCGCTACTGTACCAATATTTTATAGTAAATGAAATGAAAAAAAACAAGTTTTAGTTAGATCATGTCATGTCTATTTACGGCTCTAAATTACCAAGCAGTTTTAGTACTTGCTAACGTATCCAGCAATCGATTGTTTATCATTTATCATCATTATCATGTTTCTGCACTACAAATATAAATATTTGTAATCTGGTTTTATCTGTGAACAAAACTTTTATTTATTTTTACTAGTTGGAGTAGATAAGTCGCAATAACAAACTTGCTTCCCACGGATTCATTGATATCAAAACATTACCTTAACCGTAACACGAAACTTTATAAAGCGCCATCTCTAATTGTTTTCTCGCATCTTTCAGGAGTGGCATGATATGGAACTAATGCAAGACGAGAACAACAGGATCCGTGAGGAAGTGGAAGCGCTGCGAGGGAAGTATGATGCACTGAAACGTTTCGCCATCATGAAAAATATACCATTACCACCGGAACTGGAAATACAGCCGTAGACCAGTTGAAATAAGATAGATTTTACCTTATTGTAGATAATATGTTGTTTGAGGTAATCATGGCAAAAGAGTGTTAATATTATAATTAGGTATAGGTGCGTTAGATAGAGTTGACTATAGACTTTGTGTCTAACCTACTTATAATTAAGTAAAATGAACAATAATATGAATTATGTAATTAGTAGTGTCCCGGTGATTTCAGATTTTCCCACTTTGTTCCTGTTCAGTTTAGGGTCACGGTTTTGACTGACTGAAACTAGTAGCATTCTACACTGGCTCTGGTACAGTTTGTCTGAAACATTGACAGTCATCTCAACCGTACCAAACTCCGGTCTTGGAGAGAGTAAAGTAGCGACATCTACCTTAAGGGACAAAGTTCGAGCTACCACCAACAGATGGCGTGTTTAACAAATTGTTGGTATTGTTTAGCGCTAGCAGTGTTTACTTGTTGGACATTTACTGCGTTTTCTTTCATTTTCCAACTCCCGTCACCGCCTCTAATGTTACCTGATTATAATTATACTTATTGTAACAACAATAAGTAACACAACCAGGTTACATACCTGCCGGTTGCTGCCATACAATTTTGTTGCACTATTTTAGTTGTAAGAGCTAATTTTAAGAAAACATTTATTTATACAATTACTTAAGCAATAAACAAATATTTTAAGTAATATTGTGTTTCATTGTTCGTTAACTTTATCGTCGCACAAAGTATTGTTATATACTATTACAAAAACCACTCGAGATATTTGTGAAAACGTTTTAAAACTAAAAGCTGGGTTCTTTTATAAACTCCTTTCTTTTAAATTATAAGCTTGCCCGACCTGAAAATGCAACTCGAGTTCTCTTATCCACTCAAAAGTACGTTAACTTAAATATCTCAATGTTGTCGGCGACCACCGCGCCGTGACCTTTACAGTGGAATCTGTATGAACTGACTCCTTGAATCGGACCTCTAATTTGCCGAAGGGCCACCGGCCCACCATATTTAATTCCAATAAATATTTTATCGAAGCGCACGGGTTCCATTAGAGCAAGGGACCCACAGTCGGGGTCACTGTGCAGGGGAATACGTAGCAGTACCTCAGCTACACTAAGTTTATGTTTGTTGAGAACATTTCTCCTAATAACTTCCTTATTACAAACTTAGATTGCTGCACTCCGCGACCGACAATCCCACCTACTAAACCACAACCTATTATTAGAAACGAAAATGCCAAATTAGTACCTACCTATACGTACTTTTCCAGATTTGGGAATCGAAGCCGAAACTGAACCCTTAGTTTCTGCAACTACTCGACCAACAAACCAATCCAATGCCTGAAAGAGTTCCTTGAAAACTTCTATTATAAAACTTCTTATTCATAGAGCATAGAATGGCACAGAGTGGACCTTCTCACTCGCTAACTGTGTGACTGCGGGCCCGAGTCACTCAGAGTCAATAATTACATTTGCCGTTTACGATAGAGTTTTTTGAGGAAAAAGTCGGTTTGAAAGATTCGAAGGAAGGTAACTAAACTACTATTTGTTCAAGTAAGTTATTAGAAGGGAATCCTCTGAAAGCTTATGATTTTGCAATGTGCCCTGTGTGCCGTTATTTATTTTCGGCAGAACCTTTCATCTTCGTACCGAGTAAATATCTTTGTGTGTACAACTCTTCCTTGTTGATTTTTCTTGATTTCTGATGTTGTGTATTTAAGTAGATACTAAGTATCTATTAAATGGTTGACTAGGTGTAGAAAAAAATTAATACCTGTCTCAACTTGGTCAATTAAAGTGAAGCGGTGTCGTACGTCTACCTACTTCAAAACACGACGAAATCGCAGTCCTGATTGATTGACGGGACTCGACCAATTATACAAGTATATGTAGCATGTGTACGTGTGGGTGTGGCGGTAGTGACCCTGGGCTCGTGCTGACCCGCCGGCCGCTGCGGCGGAACTCGTTAGCACAACCGTGTGCCCTAAACTTGTCAGTTTGAGGGTTAACGCCTGATGGTCGCTAGGCACTAGACGTTAGGTCTTAGTAATTAGGTATTATGTAAATACACAGATCCAGAAGCTGGAGACGTCAGTAAAGCTGGCTACATTGTATGGGAGCTATAGGTACTATTGTATATTATTTATAATGTGAATATGTATGTTGCATGTTTGGCAACCATTATCATTTTCGTGAATTACAAACTGTTTGCCAGCCACCAATACGCAATAACAGGTAGGTATTTTATGATTCTTAGAAGTAATTGTCACAACAGAGCAGTCTCTCAATAGTCTTTAGTTTTTCTAGATTATTTCAGTACTTAGAGATACTTAGAACCCCTAATACAGGCCTCGTTTGTCGCTCATAGAAAGAATTGTTTGGTACGAGAATAAATTGAATGCCGGGACACACCGCACAGCGGCCGGTTTCTCAGCCACTGTACCAACCTTTTAGCGAGTTATTAATCAAATTGGTTTATTACAAGTAGAGACAACGCGCTGCGTATTCTGACAGCATCTCACTGTGTCGCTACGTTCTGTATTTTTGTCTAAAGGAATTAATTAATAATTTCACAATGGATGGAAATCATTTGTTACCGGTGCCCCTTTGTTACAACAACTTCGAACTTGACACATTTATTTCAGACGCATAATATTATCATTAAGGGCATCAGCGTTTGCTGAAAAACCGGATTCTATAAACTACGATATTAACTCCAATGCGTTTGTCAAGAGTGTACATTACCAATGACAAACTGTCATACTGCCCATAGTCCAGCGGTGGACTCGTAGGTGCACTTTCAACTAATAAATGGGGTATGCTAATAATACTAGGTTCCTATCTGTATGTACAGATTTCAATAGACTTGAGTTTACCACAGAGTGAAGGTGTATTTAGTTCCCGAGTCCGCAGTGTGCGTGGCGGCGCGCAGTGAGCCCGGCAAAGACAAATTACTTTATTCCCCCACCTATTTATTTGTCGAGCTTCCCTTGGCTTTCATTATTTTTTGTTTCTAACTGTCCTCCCTATTTCCGAATCCATTTCAGTGGAACACTCGTCAAGTATTGTTATTTTATTAATCTTATTTTGTTCCGAGATCAAGGCGCGAGTTCGGGTCCGGGTAGCTCCCATTCTGCGGTCGTGGATTGCCTCTTCATGTTTTATTGTACTTTATTCTTTTTTTAGCTATTAATAAAGTAGCTATGTAACAATCAAACATTGTTGTCATAATAACTGCCTCGTTGGCCGAGTGATCGCAAGTGCGACTGCCGGGCAAGGGGTCTTGGGTTCGATTCCCGGGTCGGGCAAAGTATTACTGGGTTTTAAAAAATTCTCAGTAGTAGAACGGAGTCTGGAACTGTGCCCGGTGTATGGAAATAGGCTCACCCCCTATTACATGGGACTCATAACATAAATAGTGAAAAGTGGGTGTTACATTGTACAGTGGTATAATGTGCACTTCTGCCTACCCTTCGAGGATAAAAGGCGTGATGTTATGTTATGTTGTCATAATAAATTATGTGTTAAACTTATTGACAGTTTGTTGTCACTTTAAAACATTTTATTTTCGAAGAGAGTCAATAGAGTATCTAACGTCGAGTGGAGCGTGATTTCTAATGTCGTGTTACCTAGTAAAGTTTGTCCAAGCGTTTTCCAATAAGCGTTTTCACATATGTATGTACCTACCTGGATAAAATCTGCGGCACTTAACACTGGAACCTAATGTTTGTATAACACTACGGCCTTACCGGTTATAAATGAAGTGTAAGTAGTAAGTACAGCACAGTCCACAGGCGCGCGATGTACCGAATGTAATAAAAATGCAAAACAAACCATGAATCTTCAATTCAAGTTGCGCTAACAAGCGCTAATCCACTACATTTTTCTTTTATCCAGATTCGTGAAACTCCTGTAAAGGAACTGTTTATCATACTTAAATAATATCGTCGTTTAAACAAAGCAAAAGGGAAATTTTTCGCGGCATTTTTTCGTTTTTAACTTTTGTACACAGTTCCAATTCAGCAGACGTTACGCATGTATAATTCGAGACTCATTTCGCAGCGGCCGCCATTGTGGATCTCACTTGTTGTGTTGTTGTCCAACAATCAAGAGGCAGGAGTTGCCTTTGCCTCACTGTTTTGTTTTTTCTTTCTTTTTTAAGTTCGTTATAGTGAAGGCACAGGCAATCAACTAGGCAGCCTCGTCCGTTGATTGTTAAGTCTTTGAAAAGTTGTTGTTTTTTACTGTTGTTGTTGGAGGACGTCTTTTTATAAAAGGTAAAGTATCACCTGCGACGACTCGCTACTGCCGGCCCGGCTCTGTCCGCGCGGGTCCCGCTGCTCTCCGCTGCTTTTGTCGCACAAATAAGGATTGTAATTACAACTTTTACCTAGTTTCCTTTGTATGCCAGTTTGCTTGGCGTCTGCCGCCTGTGTACTACGTAGTGCTGCGCTGCAGGTACAATGAGAATATATACTTTAGTGTTTCTTATCAGGCAAATTAAGAATGAGGCAGTAATAACATTTAAAAAAGTTCTCATAGTCCCATCCCATCCCATCATCAGATGACAACATAAAGTTAATCTGATGAAATTTGTCTGATGGGACTATGAGAGTTTTCACATATCATTGCACGTATGTATGTAGAAAAGCTGTGGATGATGTTTAAAATGATCTTACCTATTTAAAAAATATAAATCTGAATATAAGTACCATATGGTATAATTTATCTTTTAAGTATAGAATTAGTGCAATAATTAGCGCCGTATTTTATATTCCAGCGAGCAACCGAAGAGCTTGCTATTAATACTTTATTAATATAATCTCGTAAACTCTATGGGCTGTTTATTTTTTTCTCGTAATAGGCGCACTTTTCACATCGCTCGCTTTCATTCGGTGGGTCGGCATTTTTTCACAGAATTTTACCCTCTGACAAATGTGTAGTATTACAGATGCACAGTGGGTGCACGTGACGGGTGTCCTAGATACAATTATTCTCATACCTACCGGTTATTTCAT